GAGAGAGAGAGAGAGCATAGGTGTCACATCTTGTTCTGGTTGGTCCCACTCTTTCTTCATGACCATCCACCAGTGAGAGAGACACCATAGATGTCACATCTTGTTCTGGTTGGTCCCACTCTTTCTTCATGACCATCCACCAGACAGCCACCATCCTCTTCTTCAATCGATGGTGATAAACCAATAGACTACAGTTTAGTTCATTGAGTAATCTTCCACCTATATTTTATCAAATCTAGGGATCTCCTTTCAGTGCCAAAAATTATCAATCAATAGCCATTTGATATCAAAAGAAATTATGGAATAGTTGATAGGTTTAAGCTAGTGCTAGTCACATACAAATTCTCAAAAAAACAAAGGTTAGATTAGTGATACCATTCTCAAAATGTGGAAATAACTCTTTTGAGAGTTTCTCTCCCTGGAAAAACCAACCCTTCTTCTTTCCAAGATGGTGTGCTTTGTTGGTCCAATTTACTGATTAGATGTCAAAAAGCTCTCTCCTACATCTTACTTGGTGAAAAGAAGTGTGGTTGAAGATCCCACCTGGCTATTACTTCACAAGAGGGACCTACAAGTTCTGTGCGCTAATGCAGGCGTTCTAGGGACTTAAAAGGGCTTATTCCATTTAAGACTTACGAGGGCTTATTGAGCATACTATTGATCCATTGGGATATAGGAAACTTGTGAGAGCAATGGATATTAAGTCTGGCCTAACATGGAGCAGGTCCAATGGAGGTGGGGTGGGCCCTGTAGCTCAGAGGATTAGAGAATGTGGCTATGAACCACGGTGTCAGGGTTTGAATTGAATTCAAGAGAAGCCCAAACGAAGTGAATATGGTACCCAAAACTCTATGTATGTAGGAAGCAGGTCCGATTACACCTGTTCCTAACCTAAATGGAATGTAATCAAGTCCCCATGCATCAAATAGACATCCTTGCCGTTGTAGCTCCCCTTGTATAAGTTGATAGAACCCTTGCTAATATCAGTAGCATTGCCTTTCTGACTGTTGTACAGCACCCAAATAGAAGAATCCCTGTAAAGCTGAAGTTGTTATCTTTTGACTATAAAGTTCACCTTGTTCGTTGCTTGTGGACTTATAGTAGCTTGTACGGAATTTGTAGGGCTTGGACCCTAAAATATACCAAAAGTCATGTGTACCCGTGTTGTAAACTGCTCTGGCCAGCAAGTGGTACAAGAGTAGTTGCTCTTCTTTATTGAAGTGAGACCTTGGCCACCTACATCAGATGAAAATCATCTTCTATGTAGTGCAAAAGCCTTTCATAATGTTATGTCAAAAAATCAAAAACATCCTAGTACAATAATAATGTGTTGAGGAATGATCTGTCAGACATGACAATTTGGTGTAAAACAACTGCAACTTGGGTTCTGAAGCCATAGCCTTGCATTTTAGTTGTATTTCTGATTTTTGAATCCTTAACTTTCACACCTCGTTATCTTTGAAATCCATATAGAAGAATTGTTTATCCTTTTATATTCTTAGTTCTTACCTCTCTGGAATAACTCAGCAAAACCTCGAGCAGATATAAAAATAATTTCCTTCAATGGTGCACTTCTTTTTTCTTTTTTGGGTAGGTCAGCTGGAGGAATCAAACTTGAACATGGTGTTCTAGTTGTCAACAACTAACCAATAAAGCTGAAGCCTATTCCTTTAATATGTACTTTCTTGTGAGTTCTCTTGATCAAGTCTGTTTGGGTTTTGCTTTCTGTATTTTGGGGATCATAAATGTGTTTATCATGCAGATGGAAATGGTTTCAAGACAAGTACGATGCGATTAGGTGCTGATGTGATCGTTTTCAGTGGCTCAAAGCAGGGAAGGTATCTTGATGTTTTAAGTAAATATATAGCAAAAACTTACACAATCAGGTCCCTGGTATATTATTTCCCTGAAGCTCCCCATAATGGATTCTACCCTCTCTAACATTTTAGCTAGTTTTCTTTAAGTGGTTATTTGTATTCTCAGGCAACCTTTATCATATTTATCATAAAAAATAGAAAGAAAAAAATTGTTTTGTGTTGTGAACTCTTGCTTTCATTATTTTCTTAAATATTGTTTTGTGGCACCTTACAATGCATTTGTGATAAACATTTCTTCTTGAATGTACATATTATCCTCACTTTAATGGGACAAGTTGCTCTTCATGCTGTTAATCACCTGGATCTCTCCATAGTTAAAATGTTTTTGTATTAAAATATCATGAAGAGAAGTTCTTCCGAATAAGCTTGATAGATCTTACTTGCAATGGATAAATTTTTTTGCCATCTTTTCTGTATGGATTCACCAGTCTGATTTTTATCATGTTGCAAGGCCCTTTTGATCTGACAAAGAATTTGAGGTCCAGAACCTAAAAATAATATGAGGCATTGCAAAGATTTAGAATGCCGGTTCTTTTTGTACACAAGATTTAGACTTGTTTATGCAATATTAATTGATACGTTTTTTATTTTACAAAATTAGAAAAATTATTCTTAAAATGAAAAATATGTGGTGCTTCACTGATACTTCCTCTGTCGTCTTAAGGTTTAGATGTTGGCCAATCTTCTAGAGGTGCTTGAAATCTATGTAGTTTCATGTACATTTGAAGTGCTGAGCAAAAGTATTTTGTAGAACTGTAAAAATATTGCCAGAGGTTTGATTGGGTATTCATTGGACATGCACTCTGTTCTTTGGCATTAAAACTCAAAACCTTAAAAATTTTGGAAAAATCTTTGGCAACGCTTTCTTCTTTGGATGTATCATTGTCTATGTGATGCTTTGGATTATAAACCAGCGCATCTAACTGCTTTGGCTTGTGGTTTGGATTCTATATCTAAGTTTTTGTAGGAAATTGACTTTGAAGGAACCCTTTGATCTTTTAAAAGTTGGATTAGGGTTTATTAGCTAGTGTTTTTCTCTGGATCTGCATGTAGAGTGGCTAAAATGAGATTTACCTTCGGCCTCAATAGAATAATATGTACGAGGTCAAAATGACTGGATTATCTCTTGAGGCATAACTTAACTGCATATTGCCCCCGATTATTTGTGTGCATACTAACCACACCTCACAGAGATTTTCTAGTCATTTTGATTGCTGAGATGTCTAGTTGGGACGAAAGAGATCCTTTGTTGGTCAATGTTCGGATTCACACAGGTGATCTGTCCTAGCCTGCAATTTGAGGGGGACTTCTTTGTTGGGTTTGATGACTATCATATGAGACATCATGCTTATGGCAGTTATGTTAGGGTCTTTGCTGGGATCTGAAATTTGAAATTCAACTAGTGTTACCAAGGGGAACCCTGTTTTTGTGGGTTTCTTGTGGTGGTTAGGTTGGTTATAATTGAGGGCATTAGAGATGATTGGGGATTTTTTTCACAATTTGAGTGCCATATCATATAGCCATTTATTTTGTTGTTATGGTATGAAATTTTATTGTGTGAAAATCAGTTTTCGACTTTGAGTGCCTTTTGAACTTCACACTCATGTGCATATTGCTATATTTATTTATGCGTGCACTTTCCAGAAGGTGCGATGCCACTTATATAGTTGTCTCTCACGAACCATATGCAATCTCATACTTAGATCTGGATTTCACCATGAGAAGTTGACTATGCATCATGGGAGATAGATGTGTGTTTCCATCAACTAGGATACACGGCCCCGAAAATTTTTGGTTCTGAGTTACATGTTTGGGTTTTGAACAGTGATGCTTAATTAAGATCCATTATGAAATTTCAGTTTGGGGATCAAGTCCTCCATTCTACCACGCTGTGATTCTAGAATCTACATTATTGCCTTCGTTAAGCTCATATGTAATTTTTTTAATAAGAAAAACCACTAAATATGCATATATAAGAGGTGGGATGTTAGGTTTCTGAAAATTTGGAAGCAGATGTCCATAGTTCCATCTGATTGCATTAGAGGGGCAAGCGACCATATAGCCCCTTTGCTATTAACATGTACTTTTAGGAAACAGTATGTTAGCAAAATATGGATGTTAGAAACGCCTGTATTTTACTTGGTGACAGCTAGCAACAATAAAAAAAGCAAGTGAAATTGAATCGCCCATATCTAACCCAGTTTAATTTTAAAAAATAAGATCATAAAATATGGATATCTAAAATACCAATATTTCTCTTCATTGTTTATTTTCTACTTTTCTAGAACGCATGTGTGGAATGCTGGTCATTTTGATAGTTGACGAAAAATATATTAAAGTGAAGCATAAGGTAAAAAGTGTGCAACATCGGGCTCAAACAAGTTCACATCCCAAATACCGCTATCCCTTTCTGGCAACAAAGACTTTGTACCAACCTCACCATTAGCTAATGTGTCTGTGTCCCCATTTACCCCTCCCTCGGTATGATGAAAGGGTATATCTCTCACTAGAGTCACAAAGAAAAGCTAGTATCAAGCAAGGAAATTAATGGATGGAGATACATGTATCTCACTTTGTAAATTTCTAAAAGAGCAGGTGAAATGGGGGTGATTAAGTCACCCATAGTTTGCCTTTTTTAACTGTTTTGTAAGCCTGCGACTCAAAGGGAACTGAAAGACTAACTTTTCACCTGCTTATATGTTTTTTTAAATGTACCCTCAGATTAAGGGGGTTTCTAATACTTGTATTCCACTAACATGCCTTTTTTTAAAAAAGCTGGTGGGATTTGTCAGAGGGGCATTATTGTCAATTGGCCCTTGATACAATCATGTGGAGGTATGGATGTCTGGTTTCAAAATGTCTAGACCTTATGTCAACTGCTTAAAACAGGAGTCTTTTGTGGTTCTTATGAAAACCACAATAAACTGTCCTTACCATTTGTCGTCTTATGGCCTTGGGGTTCTATTATCTCCTTTTCTTTCCCATATCCTACCTAATCTGGCCTTGGGGTTCTATTATCTCCTTTTCTTTCCCATATCCTACCTAACAGTGTGTTACATCTCTTACTAGCTGTGCGACTCAAAGTGTTGGCCTTCTTTCATATACTTTCTTAAGGAAAACGGGGCTGGATGATGTAATTGTTCCAATGGTGATTTGCCGTCTAACTTGACTCTTTCCATTTTTGACTAAGTTGTGTTCTTTATCTCCGGTATTTCCACTTGACACTTGGGATGATTGCAGATTGACTTTGAATTATGTGGGGATGATGTGAAGCCCTTAATTCGTCGTTCCCAAGATGATTGGACTGACAATATGAATGCCATTCTTGAATGGTCACCCTATTTGTCTGAAGAGGAGCTTATGCGACAGGTAATTGTTACATATTTTATATGAACTGAAACATTACATAAATTCTAAATTTCCATCCATAAACTCTTTAAACCTCAATTAAGGACCATATGATCTATTGTTCTTTATCCTGGCACCTCACTCTGATACGCCTCAAGGAATATAGTGGTCCTGGAAGACAGTTTCCAAGCATAATAAAGAAACTACACATCTGAAAATAACCTTCATATGCCAAAATTCAAATTTTGTAAAAGCATGCAACCAATATTCAAATCGTATTTGCATCAAGTACTTTCACATGTGATAAAGTCTTCTTTGAGCTCCAAAAACACATATGGATATGAGAAACACTCATAGTTCAATTTGATTTGGAGTTTCTGAAAGTTATGTACTTTAGGAAATTCTTTGTGGAAATATACTTTAGGAATTTCTTTGTGGAAATATACTTTAGGAATTTCTTTGTGGAAATTCCAAAATTACTGAAACGAACTATTGGTTCGGCATCTCACTCGGATGCATATTGCAGAAAAGAGCATTCATGCAGAGTAATAAGTGTGTGCATGAAAACTTAAACATGCATATTTTACACTGCCATGAAATTTAACAGCAAGCATCGATTTCATGAATGCTTTTTATCTGGACTTTATCAAAAATGACATATGCATCATCATTTTTAAAATCCAGGTATTGACTTGTTTGATTTGTCATCTCATTAATATGATAATCTAAAAATCTTAAATGATACACGCACCAGAATAATAACAAGATATATTACTTATATAAAGTCATCAAATACACTTTTTCTAGGGTTATGTATTATTGCAGAAGCATCAGCATCCATGTATCTGTGCAAAAATTTCAGGACCTATCTTGTTTAGCACAAGACAAATTCTGATCATGAACACTTGTTATGAGAAATACAGTTACAAACTTCTGGTGCTTAAATAAATTCAAGGTTTGAAACTTGATGCAATATACTTATCATAAATAGCCCTGTATTGGAATTAGGGTATCATCAGTAAAATTCACAATTGTTATTATTTTTTTCATTTATTTGAATTAACGAGAATAAAAATATGAGATAGCGTACAAAAATTCCTAACCTTGAAATGAAGGTGCTCGGAAGTCCCTTTTGTAATCTTACTTTTTTAATCATGTCTTATGGCAAGTATGTTGTTATAGATGATGCAGGATGATGGTTACTTTTCTTTTGATTTACTGCAGTTTGAGGATATTGGCCCTCATGGAACAAAAATAATAATATATAACCTATGGCTTAATGACGATGGCCTATCGGAACTCGATTTCACTGACGATGAGGTATTATTTAAATGCAGATGTGCTTATTTTGTTTATAATCTACTCATATTCATCTGACATCTGTTTTCTAAGAGATATGTAGTTTAGCTATTTAAGAATCTATACAATTAAATATTGTGCATCATGTCATGCACCTAGTCTGGTGGGATTTGAACATTTGGTGGTGGTTAGGACAGCAAGTTGGCCACCACATAACATCCAAGGTTCGAATCTCACTGCTGACCTGCTTAAAAGATAAATAGTGCATTGTTTGATAGGATATGTTGACATGAACTTTCAATTTTAGTAGCAAATTGATAATGACTTCCATTAAGCAACATCTTTTTGCTAAGCTAAACCCTTGTACATTCATTTCATTGTACATGTGGTATGGATAGTAATGCATCATGAAGGCACTAGTGTATATTCACCCCTTGGTTTGTCTTTACGAAACTAGATCCCTGCTTGGTTTGAGTCTCACATGCATGTGCGTAAGTGCCCTAGACTATGGAAGAAATGGGCTTCCGTGCTTTTTAATTTATTTCTATTGTTTTACATGGAGTAGTTCTAGTTCTTTCCAGTGCATGTCATATATTTTTGCTATGTTTCTTGGGCACTGGAACAGGGTTGGGGTCAGATATGCATATGAGGTGTCTAACTCTTTAAGCCTTAAAAACTAGGATATGACAACACAGCTATACACACACAGACACACACACAAACCCTCCCCAAGTTTAAGTAGAAATCTTTAAAGTAACCTTCTGTTAACGTTTATTCTATAAATATTAAAATTATTGGATTCTTTTGGAAGAAGAATTGACAACTTATTTGAAGAAGACCTGCCGGAGTCGTGGTATCTCTATCTCTCAAGAATCCTTTGTTCTGGTAATCTTTATCATGAAGAATCAAGCCGTGTTGAAGGAGTACGATGCCTGTAACCACGTTGACTTGTTTCAGACACAGTTATGGGGCTTTGGATTCCATTTACCTTAGATTCATTGCCATCTGTGGCATATCTTCATTTGAAGACTCTATGCAAACTTCTGAATTCTGATTGGTCAATGTGTACAATCATTTTATTGCTTTGGCTACGTTCATGTGGACTGTACCAGTCATAGTGTGCTTCTTAAAAAGAATGTTGCGTATTTGTTTTGGCAAATTATTTCAAGGGATGTGGAAATAGTGTCCTTGTTTAGGTAAATGTTGTCTTTCATGAAACTATATGAGGCTCCTCCTAGTAAGCCTCATGGCACGTCAATTGTAGGGGCTAGAATGCCTTTTTCATTCATGTGCAAATCACTTATTAGTAACCCCCTTCTGGGATTGGGGGCAGGGCGTGTGGTTGGGGTCAAATGCCGTATGCGATCCTGGTTTGAATACCACTTCTAAGCTCCCCAATTAGAACAGCAACCCCCTTCTAGATGTCAACTGGTTTTGTCATGGTAGTGACCTTCTCATGCTCAACAAGTACTTAGTGTATGATTGATGTTCCTTCATACACTTCTGGACTATTATGATAATATAACATGATATCATGTCTTACTGTTGGTATTTTTTATTTTATTTGTTTTGAACATGTTAACTTTTTTATTGAGTAAGAGAAAAGAGTACAAAGGAGTATGAGAGGGAGTCCCCAAAACAACCAGGGCCCCGTACAAAAACCTCATGGGTCCAAAAAATGTGCGCCTCTATAAATGGGCTAACAAAAAATGCTTCTCATGTACAACTTAGTAAACAAAAGGAAAAGAGAAGAAAACGAGCTAGGACGAAAGTCAAGCTCCAGAGGGAAAAATTGTGGATTGGGTGGCTCTGGCTTTTGCAGGAGCATATGCGATGGAGTTAGCTTCCCGCGGTATATGTCTCCAAGAGACTTGTGAGGCTTCGCAAAGATGGAGATCTCTCATCAAAGAGGTGATGTAGTCTCCAAGGGCAGGGTGCGGTCCTGGAAGCCCACGCTAAAACATCCTTGTTGTCCCCTTTGATGATAAGGAAAGATTGCCACGAGGGTTTGAAGTATCTAAGGCCTTCGAGAAGGGCGGTGGTTTTAGCTGTAGTAGAGTCCGCGACATCTATATAACTGGAGTAAGAGTGCAGTGTGCGGCCTTGGAATCTCTAAAGAGGCCTCCAACACCTGCTGGTCGGAGCAGCCATCGAAGTTAGGTTTGATTTGATCTTGGCTGGGAGGTTGCCAAAGGGAAGAGCGAGGAACTCTTGTATGGCGCCAATTGATGAGGGTCTGCTAGCTTTAGTAGAAATCTGAGTAAGAAGCATGCCTAAAGAACTTGCTATTCTTGGGTCAGCAAATAATGGAGGATCTAAGAAGATCGATGAGGGAGTCGAGTGTCTTGTTCTTCGCTTGGAAGATCCTCCAATTTATCTCTATCTGATGATCCAAATAAGGGCAGACACCGCTGTTCTCCAGAGGAGTAGCCCAAGTTTGGGCAAGGGGGAGAAAATGTGCTGAAAGATATGAGGAATGGATGGAAGGGTAACCCACTGCCATATAAAGGGGCTCAAGATGTAGGCCTAGAGGGCCTGAGAGCAGTGGACAAAGAGGTGAGGAATCGATTCCTCGTCATTAAGACACATGATACAGTAGTTTGGAAGTTGTAGGCCTTTCCGCTGCAAATGGCCCACCGTGAGGGCTCTTTCCGAGCTCGCTATCGAAGTGGACCATTTAACCTTAGGGGAGATGGGTTGGACTAGGCTTGAGCTGAAATGGAAGGGGAGAGGGATATGGCCTGGGCACGGATCACCTGTTAAAAAGATGAGACTGAGAAAGTCCCTGAGAGTGTGGGAGCCCAGACTAGGAAGTCTTGGCCCTGGCTAGGAAGGAAGAATGAATAAAGCAAGGATGAGAGAGTAGGGAAGTTGGCTTCCTCGTGGTCCAGCGGCGGTCTTTTAATCCTAGGGCTACAGACTCTGGTACCCGCAACCACGTCGAAAAGCTCTGCAACAGTGGTGTCTCGATTAGTGGACAGGAGGTAAAGGTTATGGAACGTCTCCCTAAGAGGGGTATGCCTGATCCACAAGTCCGACCAGAACTGGATTCTGGTGCCAGCTCTGGCTCGATACCAGGAGTGGGCTATTGTCTACTATTCCTTTGATAGTTCTTGAGTCTGAATGATTTATTTTTATATTGATTATAAGTCATGCATGTGCTGCTCATGGATGCAAATTATGTGGCAGAAGAGTGCTAGGGATTAGGTGATGGGTAAAGGCTAGTAGGCAATAGATTATCAATTGTTTCTGACAACTTTGTAGAGATGGGCATGTTGAGAAACCTTTAAGTTTGTTTAGGGCAAGGCTGACTGTACAAGGCTGCAGATTATGCTAAAGACTTAGCAGCAAATCTGCAGACTTAGTAGCAAATCTGCAGTTCGGCAAGTTGTCTGATTATTTTCTATGGAGATGAAGACAATGGCCATTGGGGTTAGAGAGAGGACTCTGAGGGCTGGTAGAAGGATTTTTGGACGTTTGAGGTGGTGATAAAGTTGGAGTTAGTACTCTCAATCTGAGGTTGAGCTCGAAGTGGGAACAGGTCATTCATAATTAATGGGAACTGTTGGGGCGGAAATTATTCTACGAGAATCAAGCAGTGGTAAGTAGGCTTAGGCTTGCAGATGGTGGATATTAAGATACAAGAGATGGAGTTTTGTGTGATGACAGTGGTTAATGTGGATGGTTTAAAAATTGAGAGAGTACTGGTGATTGTTGTGTGAGTTTACTGATTTCATCCTATGGAGCATCATATATTGGTCTGAAAGTTATGATGCGGAACATTGCTAAATGGTTTGACATGTGACCATAGCAAGGGTTTTCAAATGCTAGCCACACGTTTGTTGATGGTTTCGTGGAGGATTTTTCAGTTTGAATCTCGATTGATGGCTTAAATTGAAGTCAGATTCCTCTAGCATTGATGTGATGGTTTGGGACGGGCAGCTGTACGCCCTTAAATTCTTGGCTGATAGAGTTCCTTTGTAGAGAGGTTTCTGATTTAATGTGTTATGAAGATCTATGCCAATGGCTTCCATATGATGGGATTAGGAATATGACGGAAAATGGAAGGGCCGATGATTCTGTGGTAAGGATGAGTGGAAGCATGGTATGGCTGGAGGCCGATGGTTAAAATTGCCTGTGTCCTTGTGACCAGCACATGCCCTTGGATTCTGGTTCAATGGAGTGAAAGATCTTGATTTGTTGTTATAGAAGTATATCTGCAGGTTTGTTGGTGGGCGGTCATAGTCACTGTAATTATGGATTGGTCCATTTGAGGTTTACTGCGATGAGGGGAAAATGCGTGTACCATTTGGAAGCTTTGGTATTTCACTTTGGGAATCTTTATCCATTCTTGGAAACCTGGTGCATACCTATAGGAATGGGGGTTTAAGGACCTATCACAAGCCTGGGGAGTTAGATATAGTGTCAGGTAGGCTGTGGCCTAGGAAAGTATGAGAAAACATAGGGTAGAAAAGGCAATGGAGAAATGGAAAATCTAGATTCTCTTTGTGTGCATGAGAGAAGGCCTTTCTATTTATTCTATGGGCATTGTAGTCTGTGACTGTGGGTAGGGAGGGGAAGGTGTAGGTTGAGGTCAGGACTCTTAACCAACTGAAGGGCTGCATCACGATTAGTTTTAGATACACACAAAGTGGGAGACTGAAGGGAATCACAAACAGAGCAATGTCAATTTTTAGAAGCAAGATAGTCATAAGAGACTAATTGACAAGGTTTGGGAATAAGAATGATATTGAGGGTCAGGAGTGGGGATGCCAACCTAAATACAAGGTTCCTGCAACGAAGTTAAATTTCACTTTCCGTTGTTTTGTGGTGGCCTAGAGGGTACCAACTCTCAGAGGTTCATAGGGTAGATTGGGTCATTTTGAATGTCTTGGTAGGATAAAGTCTGTCATGTTGCAGGCTGCCACCAAGTGTGGTATTTCCTTCTCCAGTTCATGTATAAGAGTTGGATACGCTGTTGAAGGAGCTGAGTTTGAGTGAGATCCATGGAAGAGGACAAAACAAAGTCATGTAGATATATCAAGGGGAGCATCAAAAGCCAGTTTATGTGCAGTAAGGACTATGGGGTTATCTTGGAGGTTAGAGATGTGCACAGGTGATTAATGCAGCATAGGATTTTGCATAGACTTCTTTAGATGTGGTTGGTTTCATTTTGGGGCAGCCATGTGTCTCTACCGAGTGTAATGGTTGGGTTTTCATAGTAGGGTATGGTTTCTTGTATCTAGAGAGGAATTTGCTCTTGTTGTCCTGCACTTTGCTTTTTACTTCAATAACATCATACTTTGACTTGGAAAAGAAAAACAAAGGTGCCTTCGATGAACCAGAAAGATTCAGAAGTAAATCAAGAAGGTAAGACTCTTTATTTTGATGTCATTAGGGGATTCTTTAAGCTATGCACAAGGAGAGATTTTGATCACGATGAAGATGACCCTTAAACTTGTCTATCTCAATTTTAAAACTAGTTTGTAACAACTGTCTCCATTGAAATTGCATTTTCACCTTTTTAGATGATTTGAAACAGCTTAATATTTTCTTGAATGTTGCTTGGGCAGCGTAAGTGTTGTATCTGACAGCATGACTGGAATATCATGTTGTAACTAAATTTGAAATGAATGTGCTGAAGCGATTCAATACTTGTGCTTCCAAGAGAGAGAGAGCCATGGGGTTTTGGGTACTTCCAATTTTGTGCTTCATACACACATGCGTGTGCATGTGGGTGTAACGTGCATGTGAGTGTGGACCTGTTGCTGTTCTTTCTTTGCGTGTAGCTGGGATGTAGATTTTTTTTTTTTGAAACAGAAAAATGAATTTGTTTGCATTTTGTGAATGGTCATTGAGGGAGAAATTTGATATGGCTAATGTTATTCTCGTAATTTCTTGTCTGATTTTCTCTTAATGTACATATGAGACAAAAGGAAAAAGATGCAAAGGACACTTAAATGCTAAAGTCGGGGGAGAGTATATGTTTTTCATTCTTCCTGTTACTCTATGCTGAAGTTGTTTGACAGAAAATCATTCGGAAATGGGGGATGATTTTGATAACCCTGAGCAAAAGGTCACATTGTGGCTTGCTTCCTGGAAACATATAGATCGTGTTGAGATGCTTGGCTTATCATCTATCTTTCATTTTTTTTTCCTGCTTAGGATATAAAACTAAATGGTGAAGCTAAGTATGAGACATTAAGTATCTCTCAGCAGCGACACAGAGAAAATCACATTTCACATCGCCTTCGATATTCCTTGCGTGTAAGATCTGAACCTTATCTTTGATATCTAATATTAAATCATTCTTTGATATCAATAGATTCAATACGTCATCTTTCTCTATAATCACTAGTAAATATAATTTATCTCTGGTTTCAAATTTCAATGCAGGCATATGCTTCTATTCTTTATCTCAGGAAATTCACGAATTTTGAGATAATATTAAGGGGAACACCTGTTCAGCAGCTTATTTTTGCTGATGAATTAAAATTTTCTGAAGTGATTACTTACAAGCCATGTCTGCGTGATACAAAAGAGGTGAGCTAGTTACATGTCATCTGCTGCTGAAATCAACGGCTGAATATTATTATCTTTTAACATTGACAATGCCACTTTGTATTTGTTTTTCTGTAATGCTGTTTTCTGTCTGCCTGTTTTCAGTTACTCCATTGTTGTCTATTCAGTTGGTATATGTCTGTGTACAGATGCATTTCTGTGATTAAATGTGCTTGGGCGCGTGCATGCAGTTGAACATATGCTGTGTGCATGTGTGCATGTTTCCAGTCTCAGTCTGCCTATACTTTTTGCCTCTCCATTAGAAACGTGTGCGAGCTGTGCTTTCTACACATCTGCTGAACGTTCACATGCATTTTATCTTTCCTGATCTTAATAGTTACCTTGTTTGTTAGTATTTTCTGAAGCTTAAATAATCTTAATAAAGAATGTTAAACACCAATGGTCTGGTTGCCATTTACCTAACAAAAAAAAATCAACAGTCCATGTGTTTTGCTTCGTTATAATTTTGGCTGGTCAGAAACGTTTTTGGCGTGTTGTAATCTTGCTCAGGGTTTGCCACAATAGGTATGCTTTTTTATGTTTTCTACCATATAGATGGCAGATTAGATATTTACCTATGTTTGTCATTTTTTTATTTATTTGAGACTAATGGGTCTAAGCTTACTTTCTGGAGTGTACACATAGTCTCTGCTAGAATTATTTTTGCACGGTGTAATCCTAGCTAGTTTGTTCAGCGTATGTTTATCTTCTTTATTGCACAAGGGTCTTCCTATTATTTAGTAAGCTCTGGCACTTGCCATTTGTTCTTGTGGCACTGTGAGAAAGGGGATTTGGCCGCCTACCTGGAAACTCTTTTTATCCAACTTTCCCCTATCCATGTTTCTTATTAAGTTTCTTCTTTATTTTGTTCTCCTTGATCTCTGTGCATTTAGAGCTTCTGAAAGATTTTTAGGAACAGGAATGAAGTTCAAAACCTTCCCTTCTAGGGAACTTCCAAAACCCTTGGCAAACTTCCAAATCTCTAAGTTGTAACCTCTAAAAGTCTTTTGAGTTGTAACCTTAAGGAATCTATGTTTATTCTGTACTCATTTTGTATAAACTCTTCTAGACCACTTATAGTTTCAAAATTATGCTACTGGTTTACTCTTCTGAACCTTTTGATGGACTAAGATCTAATGAAGTTTTGGTTGTTTTCTTCTCTTCTATATTATTGTAATAATATTTATGCATAAGCCGTATACGTTATTAGTAGTCTTTGGAATCAAATGTTGTGGGCATTTTTATGGTAATCTTCTTGCTATATTCATGTGTGAATGCTCTAATTCTTATCACATCTTGCTTCTATTTCTATGAAGATACTGCAAGAAAAGCCTATGATGTTTTCATTTCATAACCCTTATAATTTGGCACATAATTTTTTGTACATGCATGTAATGCAAGTCAGGCAGTGGTGTTAATAGCAGTTGGGTTCATAAAAGAAGCTGCAATTGTTGGCATCGATGTCCATGGATTCAATGTCTATCACAAAAATCGCCTTATCATGGTATGAATCAAATCAAAGAAGTCCATAATTTGTTTTCAAGTATTTATATATCCATGTTATCAATATTATACAGTTTGGCTTCTTATTGGTGCCTGTTTGCAAATAACACTGTTTCCTATTTTCTTGTGCCGTTTGGTTTCAAGTTGCTCTCCTAGTTTTATTTGCATTTCTTTTTGATAGAGGATCTTTCCAAGAGGTACCGATATGCCTTGACTCGTATTATGCTTTTGTGATTTTAGCCATTTTGGAGGGTTTACCAAGATGTCTCTAACAACGGAAGGGGCGTAGTAGGTATGTATTTCATAGGGAATTTATGGATGTTGGCTCTCTGTCTCTGCTTTCTCTACACGTCTTCTTAATTTCATGGCAGGGGTTCTTGAAGCAAATTTTATAGAGCCAGCTCATGACAAGCAAGACTTTGAAAAGACGGCTGTATTTCAGCGCTTGGAGTCAAGATTGAAACAATTGCAATCTGAATATTGGTTTGTTATAATAAAAACTTATTTAGTTGCGATCTGCCATTTAGAAATTTATTTATTATCTGGGTTACGAGGGAGCCTTCAATTCATTTTGCCAATAAAGTGGTTATATTCTAGGCATGTATGTGATGCTTGAAAATTGTTGTGGGTAATCTATGTAAATGGGAGCAAAATTTCTCTCTAAACTGTCTTTCACATTTCTATATCATGTTCCTGCGCTTTTGAGTATGCTATTATGAGGTTGGATTGATGGAATACTTGTAAAAGTTTATTTTATCTTTTTTGGATGGTCTTAAAACATTTTTGATGATTTGTGCAGTGTTTATGGTATCAATTAGAATACTATAACTATAAATAGTAGTATCTGGTTGTAGAAAATATTTAGTTAAATCTTTCTTCTGCTGAAAAGGTGTCAAACTTTAGGTTATCATTGTTATAGTTCCACTTGGTTATTGATCTTGGTTGAGAAAAAAACCTTTAAACTCAGTTCTGTGATAACCAATTGGGATTCTAACCAAGGATCTTCTTCCAAATAAATTCAAATTTTTTTCCTTATTTGGGTAATAAGAAAATGTATGTGTACAAAATCATGTTTGGAGTGTATCTATTCAGTTGCATGCTTTCCATGCTACTTTCTAAGCCTTCTCCTTGTGTTTTTTGGAGTCTTTTATTTCTCACTCCTTTCTGTCTTTTTTCTGTGCTATAGATTTGTATTTTATTTTTTCTTCTATATTTTTTCCTCTCATTCTTTCCTGTGCTCTATCTCTCTCTCTCAACACACTCTTTGCACCCTTGATCATCGCCCTCTTTCTAGAATTCTTAATCTATATGCCAATTCATGCCTTTTTTTTTTTTTTGAAATGTTGACAAATTGTATTACTATACCAAAAATGACAACCTAAGTTGTTGGCCCACAATACGGCAGGAACACTCTATACATCACGAAAGAACCATAACAAAAAAAGAGTGAGAGAAAAAGGAAAGCCAAAAAGGCACTCCTTTCACAAGTGCATCTGCTCTAGAGTTGGCCTCGCTCCAAGTATGTCGAAAGGAGACACAATTATGCCTGCACAGGAAAGAGATGGGTTTAAAGATGTGCTCAAGTCTCCAAGGGCAGGTAGAGACCTGAGGCCCTAGAATTGATGTTTTTTTATTCTCCCTGAAGTCCCTCGACTACTATAGAGTCTTCCCATTCTCAATCAAATTTCTTGATGTCTTCTAAGAGGGCTATGGCCGCTACCTAGGTGGAATCGGTGAAAGCAATGCGACCCGAGTTTGAGAGGAGTGCACATGGTCTCGAAAGAGACCTCCAGAACCTGCTGGGCTCTGGGGTTGCCTAGGAAGCAACCATCTTTGGCTATCTTCTGGGGGACCTCCAAAGGGAGGACCGGGGGACATGTGTTGGCCTCAAGGTCAAAAAGTCATGCCAGCTGTTAAGGAAGTCAGATAGGGAGCAGCCGTCAAAATTCATATTTCCTCAGCATTTCTCTCCTTTTTGTTTCTGTATATATTTCTCTTTTCTTTTTCCCCTAAAATCACTCTGTTTTGATGTAGAAAGAATCCCCCCCGCCTCCCCCGCCCCAAAATTTTTCCTGTGAACTATCTTCCTCTCTTATTTAAACCCTATTTCTTCGTTATATTAAGACATGCAGGCATGAATATTTATACGGTCACACTCATACAAGCATACAAGCGGGCATTTCCATACTGTACTGAAGTGGTGTCTGCTACAGAATTTTTGAGTTTTTATTGCCAATACTTTTTGTTTATGTCAGATACCGTCACTTGTATTTGTGCCTTCATAACATGGGCGGCCATCATGTGCTTGGAAAACCGGCCACAAGATACTCACCACTTACATCAATAAAGATAGTGATCTCTCTTGAGTACCTTGTTTGATATAATCATTTTACATGCTAACAAGTTCTATAAATATTTTGATGATATTATGTTACACCATATATTGAGATGCATTTTCCCCTATGCCCCTCCATATAAGCATGTGAAACCTCGTTATAAATGGAATGAAACCACCAGCTGACTGTGGCTTTCAAAAGGATATGTGATTGTGTGCCTTATGCCAAAGATTTTTAGCTGAAGTTCTCTGCCATTGTAATAGAGAAATTACGTGTCTTAATCTAAAGAAAGGATTTTTATCTTAAGACCGTGGCATTCTGTGATGGAGGAATGGTCTTAACTGGGGAGTCTAAGCTACTATTGGGAGAAGGATAAAACATGCAAAGTTTTTCATACGAAACCAAAAGTTTCTTTGTTCGTCCTTTTGTAAAACTAAGGATGAAAGGTCACTAAAGTGCCCACTAATGAGATTTGATGCAGTTATTGGCCAAAATTTCCCTTCAATAGGCCTTGCCCCTACAGTGTGACATACAAGCAAACCCTGGAACTTAGCTCCACCAACCTTGATCGTCCTGTGCAGCCAATCCTTCAAAGGAATAGCACTGGCATGTGCTACCCTCTTGCCTGATTCCCTTTTCTCGGAGTATATATTCAGATGTTTCTATAAATCCTACTACGGGCATGTGCAATTTCAATGACAGCTCTGAAGGTGAGCTTCTTCTAGTGGTCGGTGTGCTATTTCCCATTAGCTAGTAGCCTAGTAGTAAAACCGCTTTAAAGTTCCATTTTGGTTACTTAGTACCTCAATCTCATAGTTGGTCTTGGATTTACACCCTAATGGTAGTTACAAGGAGCACATCCTTCTTGTTCGGGGCGATCTTGACATGGGATCATCATCTCACTTAACATGTAATCATGATCCATAGCCTTAGACTCTAGTGGCACGTTTGATATTTGGAAGCGGTGGCTTCCAGAGCCATTTCTTCAAGACACTGTAGCATTTCCCTGTTTGATAACTGGAAGTTCTATGCAAAATTTGGAACCCGCAGTTTCCTCTTAGATTTAAAATAACATTGATGGGTGACCATATAACCTACCTAGGCCTGCGGTATCCACCTCCTTGGAAGATGTAGTTTCCAGAACTACGTATTCCAAGATTCAAACACGCCATAACTGAGGGGGTTATATATAAGAAAGGGAAGTGATATTTTTCTCCCCTTGGAGCATAACCATTGGTGCTTTTCTCACCTCAACAACCATTTTTGAAGTTGTGAGAAATGCTCCAACTCCGCATCACCCGAAAATGCGATCTAGACCATCCATTGGGATGAAATCCAGAGGTTTGGAGCATTTTATGGAATTGTAAATCAAATATTTATTTAGAGACAATGCTTTGGATGGTACTTAGCTTTAATAGAATTCAGAACTGGACCAGACCAGCTAGTCTGACCTATTTGACTGCTGACTGGACCCCAAACTGGTTTGGTTATGTCAAAATGATATTTTGAATATTCCAGATTGATTTTTAATATGAACTTATGCAAATTTTGAAGAGATTTTAGTTTTTGACCCAGAGTTTTTGACCCAGTCTTAACTGGTTTGATGACTTTTCAAACCACTCAGAGAATCTGGATTGAAGACTTTCTAATTCCGGTAACACTGGTTTGGAGTTTTCCTTGTGCATAAATCCAAAATGGTTTTATGGTGGTGTAAGCACCGAGGGGTGCTTGTAGGGGAGTACACCATCATTTCCCTATGAAACGGGCCCACACTAATCAATGCTTAAAATAATAAAGGAATAAATTAAATGTAATGTAAGTTTTGGAAAGGTGTCACTTAACTAAAATGTTGCTACTTGATTTGGGGCAGAAATGAAGTTGGAAAGAAATTACCTCGTTAAAAGGTTACTAATAGATCTGGGCCATAACAGATGAGCCAGCTTCCTAAAGAAAAGGACCGAAATAAAGGTAAATATGAGTAAATTTTCAGTTGCCAAGAAAGTAGCAACAATACCTAATGATATGTTTGCTGATAAATGATATGTAAGTTGTCTCAGAAAAAGGAAGACATTATATGTAACTTACTTGGAGAAATGAACAAACTCAATATTTAAAATAAAACAATTCAATATTAGAATATGTGTACTTGTCAATCTTGTATACAACTACCTGCACCAAATTGACTAACCCTGCTCACAGGGTTTATGACTGCCATATCAAAGATCATCCTGTCATACATTATTGGGTATTGTTTGGGGTCAAGAGGTGGCCTCTTAAGGACTACATATTCTATAACGAAGCTAGGTCAACCAATAATGGGAATGCTAGCGATAACATGTCGTCCCAACATGTTATCATGCCGAATGAGCTCTTAGTCTATCTGGCTTTGTTGAGTGTTTCAGGCTGTCCCTTGAGCCTTACTGACCACACAGGTCACAGCCTGTTTTGTGACAATTTTTCCGAGGTTTCTTTAGAGTATACCATTGCATGTCAACTGGACAAACCTCCCAACCTTTTCTATAATCCTTAATTGAAGGCATTAACATCACGTTAGTCGAGGGTTCATTCAGTTTCTGAGCATGTAGCTTATAAGCATGTGTCTATCTCGCATGGTTCCCTTAGTGCAAACGTGACTTCCTCGAGTGTCATGACATGTCTTTCTGACACTCTTCTCAAGCTGCAGTATTCTCTTCACCCTTTTTTTTTCTTTTTTTCTTTTTGTAAACAAAAAAGGGTACAGTCAGTGGGGATTTTTTGGGCCTCTACCCTTTTGGTGAGAATGGACGAAGAGACTTCATCATAGGGCTCCTTGGTACTACTGCCAGGGCCCTTGCTCATTGGTGGCCCCAGCTCATTCTAAATAACATCTTATCATTTGGGAGCCTTGGTGGGATTCGATGCATAGATGTTGCTAGGTATCGAATCCCACCAAGACTTCCAAATGACATAGAGCTATGGGTATCCCATGTATCCTTTCATGTTAGTGAATAATTTATGTTTAGGACACGGTTTTAGTGAGTCAGCCGACTCACCTATTGTTTTGTGGTCCCTTATGCATCAAACGTCCATCTCTAAGATGGACGTCAAAAATGGTGCATCCAATAAAAGTTAAAAAGGACAGTGGAAAAAAGAAATTAAAAAAACACTTCATAATTTACAAGAAAAAGAAATCAAGATTCATGATTATCATCATGGATGAGATTAGCAAACCCTAAAATTTTGGATCGAAAATCCATCTTTGAGATAGATTTTGGAGGGTGACCGCACAAGACTCACAGAAGGAAAGCTTGACGGCTATTTATGTCTGTCTACTCATAATCTTGTTGGTCATTCAATTCTTGATGTTAGCAAATATAATCTCTGTAGATATTCTGAAAGAGATGCAACTGTGCTCTGAAGTTGAAATAATAAAGAGTATCCTACTATAATGAAATACGTATGTGCAACCTGCATTCAAGCCATGAGATGATTATTGATGCTTTAGAAGCAGTACACCATTATCTTATAAGTCATCTATATACTTTGATGCTGAATCGTCTCTATATCTCATGATATTGAATATAAATGTTGTAACTGTGTGGTGTTTTGATACAAGATGTTGGGATGCATATAGCTTCTCTTCCACTGGGTTAGCTCTCTAAGCATTAATTTTGGTTGGCTAAGTATGTGTCAAATTCACTGATTTTAAGTTATCTTGGTGCTTCCTAAATGCTGTTTTGATCACCCTTGGCTTACACTTCTGTTTATTATTCATCCCTCTGTTCATCTTCAAGTGTACTCATGTTTAACAGTTCAACCCGGAATATTTGCTTACTCTTGCCAGTTTTTTTTTTTTCTGAAACTGTTTGACTGCATTTTATATAAAGTAAAGGGGTATTACAAGAGGTATCGTATTACAAAAAGTAGGCTACACAGGAAGTTGCGTGCCCCCTATACAACAAAAATCTCAAACAATCTTTACAACCATGCCTTATTAGGTGCTCAACAGCTTAAAAATGACTCTTGACAGTTCGATATGATTATGACAAGCCAATTTCTGGCCCCTTCTAAATTCTGTGTTCTATTTTCTGAATAAATGATTCAACACCATAAAGCATATGCCTATAATGGACTCCTATATTCAGTAATGGTTAGCCAGTTCTTAACAAACCTTTTATGAGGCACTGTTTCTACTTTGTCATGCAGGAAAAGCCATTGCCACTTAATTGGTTACCAGTTTGGGAAAAACACACTGGTAATAAATCAGCAACTAGATAATTTTCCAAAGCAAACTATAGTCGGGCTTGCAGCTGTTAGTGCAGTGAGTTCACAACAAACAACATACTCAGTCCCAGCAACACAGTCTCCTGCTCAATTTGGTACGGTGAAATCATCATGCATATGGGAAAGAAATGGTATTTTGATTCAGTACAGTTAGTGAAACACCTAATTGCAACTTATGCACCAGGTTTTGGTGTTCCTTTAGAAAGTAACGTCTATAAATATACAAATCATCACCAAAGGACTCAATTACCTACAGATAGACCCAATGTTGGAATTCTTGTTCAGCAACCGGAACCGAGAATGTCTGAAGGTGCCCAGGTGATTACTTGATCAATTTCTGTTCACAACATTTTAGTTTCCTTCCAATTTGTTCATGATGACAGGGCCACATTCATACCGAGCATTGTTAAGATTTAGGGGCCTTTACTGAAACACATGTATGTATGTGTGTGTGTGCGTGTATGTTTGTATATAATTTATGTATGTATTTGTGTGTGTGCATGTGTGTTTACGTGTGTGTGTGGTGTTTGGGTGTGCACGCATGTGCCTGTGGAGTCATATGCATGCTATGGTATTAATTGTGGTAAGTATTTTTGTCCTTGCATAGCCAAAGATAATCAGCACCTTTGATTTTCTTCAAAGGAATCACAATTCTCAAAACAAAAAAGGAAAACTCTCAACAAATAAGGAATAGCATTTCTCCCTCATTTCTCTATTCGTAAACCTAATTCAAATTTGGGAAGGGGCTGGGGTCGTGGTGGTAGCACCCCTCATCCTAGTCACCACATTGTGGTTTCCATTCCCACCACTAACACCACCCCACTAACACCTTCAAAAAGCTAACTCCTAATCTACTTGAAAAAACAGGTAGAGGCCCGTCTTCCCCACTGAATTACCCAAAAAAAAAAAACCTAATTCAAATTTCCATCTATATAAACAAACTGCTAAACTTGACCTCTTTCAGATTTTCTTTTCAAATCTATTTAGGCTAATATGTATTTCCTAAACTTAACCTTCTAAATTCCATCTTTTTCAGTAATTTAAGACAGACTCCCCTCCCCCCCTTGTGCACTGTACAGGCTGAGTACTGGTGTGTATATAGGAAACAGAGAGACAATGTTTCTTGAAAAGGCTATAGATTGATTCTTTCATTCCACCAATCTTTCTTATTATTTGAACTGGATGAAGTTGAGGTGGAAATCTTGTGTTTGAACGATTGAGACACGAAATGCAAAATGCTTACGGGTATCAGATCTTAGTGGGAATACTCTTAAGGTCGAAGACAATGGTGAGGCATCCAACTTCACTACATTTCTAGGAGATTCTCTTGCTGCTCAGGAACTTTCATGCTGCACCTATTAAAAGTTCAGGATATCAAATTTCTAGCTTACCTCCATATCCAATTCCATTTTGTAATGCTTGGGATGACTCTTCTCACAACTCTATTCTTGGCTTGGTTCTTGGTTTGATGCTTGTGCTGGCCTACTCTTTTTGTTTATTTGTTGTTCATCAATGTTCAAACCTTACTCATGCAAAATGGTTGTATAGTGATGGTCCTGTGTCATTTTGTCTTTTTTTATCTTTATTTATTATGGGTATGCTTTGGTATCATAAAGCATTCTATATCTTTGACTGAAATCAGCATCTAGCATGTCTCATGTTACCATGGTAATTTATTTTATGCCGTGTCTCTTTCTTTTTTTAATTTCAAGATCTCCTTTTTTCATTATTTTTCATTTGTCTTGAGAAGGCAATGAGTGTCCTATTTTTTCCTTAAATAAAACCAATTCCTCATTTGATGGTATTTTGTTTGGTTTGGGTTTTGTTTGCTCTCAGAATACCGTTGGCGAAGATGTACCTGTTGATTCAACAAGAAAATTTGTTGAAAGGATATGCGAAGAAAACATACAGTTGTTTAATAGGTAATGTAATATCTTTTGATATAAGAAAATGTGTTTTTGCAACACTAGATTCCTGAATTTGTTTTAGTTTATGGATTAAAGATGTAATTGTCCTAGCCATTGTTGCCCTTCTTAGATTTAATTAATGATCTCTGTCTTGTAGATAGCACTATATTACGCTCATTATGACTTTTATATTTCTTACTGAGACCGTGTCTTTTATTATTGCAACCTCTGAATTTTACGAAAGCTATTTAAGCACCAAAAGAGTGTCCGATACGTTTCTGAATGTTACACACAGACATGGTATTGGACATGCGTCTTGATATGCCAGACATGGTATGGAACACAGATCATGTTTTTGAGCAGTTTCAGAAATTTCTTTTATTAATCATTCTTTCCAATGTAGCATCTTTGTGAAAGACGCTTATGTCTTGGTTGTAGGATACGGTGTCTAAGTCATAAGACATGTCCGTCTCAGTTGTTAGACACACATGCCTTAGTCATGAGATCCGTGTGGCTAAGTTGTAAGACATCTTACGTTTCATTTGTAGATTTTTATAATAATATTAGTATATTATACTATATTTTCGAATTTTGCTTCTTTTCATATTTTCACTACTTGTCTAATTAGCAAGCGACAATAAATTTTTGTATGCTAATAAGTATGTCAAAATAAAAAATATCAGACTAGAGTGTCTACGATAGACAAGTGTCTCATTTTAACATATGTCTACATGTTTCTTATTTTTAGACACTAGTATTTTTGTCGATTCTTGGAAGTGACACCTCTGTCCTTTTCGGTGTCTGACACGCCTAGTTTAAATGGCCTTGCTTGATACCTTGTATTTGTGTTGAAACTTGATTCCTCTGTCAGGGTCCTTTCAACTGTGTTTAAGCATAATTTGCACTTAAAAGTCAAAGTGGACAATGATCAATCAATAATGGATTTGATTTAAGAACCTCTGTAACTCACGAATGAAGTCAAAAAACAAGTATCCTATAGTCTTATGGACCATGTACAAGTCAGTTGTCTCCACCCTCTGTTACCTGCCAGTGAAATGGGAACCATGGTTTTTCCTATCCATTGGATTATAATATAGTATCCCCTTGGTTAGTGGATTCTTTTCTCTGAAATTAAGATTGGACACAAGATATTTGTAACCATACTTTGCATCTGAAACTGACGCGTAGTAATTGAATGATTTTACAGGTGTGAGCACCATAGACAAAACGAAGCCGAACTGAAGAAGAAGGTAAATCATATTTTGAATGAAATAGCTTTGTTGTTTCTCTCAATATTGTGAGAACCTTTTTCATTTAAAAATTTCTGAGAAGAATAAATTTCATGTATTGTGATGCTTTTTCCCTTTCCTTTCAAATTTTTATCTTGCAATCTGCTTGTGTATAAACTTAAAATTTTGTTAAAGGAAAACCTAAGGAAAAATGAACGATTTTCTTCTTTCTATAGGCTTTTAATCTTAGATTTTCCATCCCTGTAATTGGAAGTTTCGAAAGAATTTTCAATGTTTTTGAGAGAAACCAAGGTTTTGAAAGTCATCCCAAAAAATTTGTTTTATCCAAAGATTTTGTAACTTAGTTGCTAAAAGATCGTTTCACTGTGCAACTACAATATAATAGCATAACATGATGACCATATAAAAACAAGAAAATCTTTCTTAATTTTAATTTTTTTTTGTGTTTTTTTTTTTTTTCATCACTTCAGAAAAAAAAAAAACTCATCACATCCAAGTCATCTGAATTAGGATTCCCTCCTGTGAAATCTTGAACAGATTGAGAAACTGCGAAATGAGCTCGAGGAAGGAAAGAAGAAATGTGCTGAGCTTGCTGCAAAGATAGAATCACATCGGAAACAAAATCCAAAGTAGCTGCGTCCAAGTAGTTTTGCTATAGTCAGTCACTTACTATTGAAGTACACATTTGTGAATAGCTTCTAATTGCACTTTAGAGAGAGAGATAAAGAGAGAGATGTATTAAGGACCCGGTTTTTATGCTGCCAAAGCCCGCATATGTAGAAATGCAAGTCTATTAATATATATATTTTTTGAGATGGACTTTTGGAGCTAATTTTTAAGGACATGTGATGGACATCATGAATATGAAAAAATAAGTAAATTTTAAAAACTCCAAATAACAATTCTAGTAAGAAAACATTTAGATTGTTAATTTCCATTGTTTTTGGATGGAACACCTACTTACGTCCATCTTTAAGATGGTTGCTTTACACTTTTTGGACCGCATATGTAGTCATGCAGTCCAGCCCGCATGAAACAATTTTTCACGTATTAATCAAGTTTGTAAATGCCCAACGTGTGCAGTAGGAGTGTCGTGTGTCCACCCATGTCATCACACGATCCAACAGAGAATAGAGGGTATCTAGGTCACACTAATACAGGGTGTCTAGGTCACACTGCTCATATCAAACGGCCATCCATCTATATTTTCTTTTTCTAAACGCTTTCAACTCTCTGGTAAGTCAACAAAGAGATTTCGTACTTTTATGTCCAAAGGCTTGTCAAAAAAAGAGAAGCTTTTAGATCTGAAGGTCGAATATAAACACCTCTCTCTCTCTCATAACATCCATAATCATCATGAGGGCCCAGAAATAAGATCGATAAATTGTTTGTGAATGAATTTTTAAGATGGCTTTTATTGTCATTTTGTTTTTATTAGATGGCTTTGATCCCATGATTTAGTGGCCGCAACATGTGGCTCCTTCATGTTAGCAGTATCCCTCAATCCAATCCCACACAAATTTTGGAAGGTAGAGGGCGGAGTAAAAGAAGAAGAGAGAGAATAGATAGTGTGCCATTGTTATTACATTTTGAACATGGTGAAGAGGAAGCTCGAAATGCTTGATAAAATGACCAGATAAGCGTGTTGATGGATGTTTGAAAATTTGAAGTGAACTAATTGGCTCCGTAAATTTGAGGCTACTAGAGGAAGATTTTCAGTCATAGGTTATATAAGCTCACAAATAGGTTTGAAGGTGTATTTGGGCTGAATCACATAAACCCAAACAAACTGAATGTGCTAATCTCATTTTTGGGAATTTTCAAGAGCCTTTTTCAAATGATTGGTTCTTCGATGGCACTGGGCCAAAAAAAAAATGTAAAAAAAATAAAAGAAAAAACAAAAAGGAAAAGGCCGGGCCGGCATTGGCCCCGGGCCACAGTTTGTGCCCTATACTCTTTTTTGCCTGGACGGTGCTGAGACAGCATGCACCCGTTTTTTATAGACAGCTCTATCAATTTGGCCCAATAAAAGGCCAAGGGCAAGAGCCTGCAAAAACTTGGAAATAGGTTTCTATTGGACCGATTTCTTTATTTGTTCAATTCAAAGATAACATTCATCAAATTGCCAAGGCAGTTAATGACTCCCCGTGTACGAATTAATAATTGTTCACCAAAAGGAAGTTACTGTGTGAGAAGAAGGCATGCTCCTTCTCTAACGAGCCACTATCAAACAGTCACACCACTGAGATGAACCCTCACAAACACTATACAAGGCTATGGGGACTCAATTCTAAAAAAACTTGAATTCACTCTTTTTTTTCTCTCTTATTTATGTTTTATACATCTAAACTTGAATAAAACTACTCTAGTGTTCTTAGTGTGGCTCGCTATACTTCTATCAAAGAAATGATTCAAAATTTGATAAGACTTGGTAGATTAAATGATATAAACTTCAAATGCTGGTATTAAAAGGTGTTCCTCTTTACTAGTATTCTCAAGACGGCCTATGTCCCACCACCCATTGAAGGACAATCACTCAAGCACGCTCAAACACATTAAAACTGGATTGTAGGTGATTGTTGCAAAAGATGATTCAAAGTATTCTCATGTATTCAATTTATGAGACTATCTTCTTCTTTGAGCTTTCATTTGAAACTTTTCTATTGAGTAGTCCATTATTTATGTGATCAAGCCCATACTATTGCTTTATTAAGGTATTGATTTTTCTTCTCATATTTTTAATTTTTACTTCATTTGCATTATCAAAGCTTGTTGTAATTCTTAATTTACAGTAGTTTTCTTTATTTTTTATCATGAAAACTTGATATTTGAAGAGTCCTAAAACAATAGTGTAGTCCATACACATAGTATGTGTAAACTAACTTGCTAACTCCATGATCTTGAGTAGTTTCAACTTGATTTCTTGATCTTAGTTTTCTGAAATTTTTACGGAGAATATACAACTGATGAAAGGTTTATTTCATCATATTTGAGCATAAGAAATAGTCTATTGAGTTCCCTTTTTAATGTTGAAAAGTTCGTGTGGTCCCTTATAGACCACATAGTGTAGTTTCATCGTAACTTCCTTATTTTGTATGGTATCTCTCTCAAACTTTGAAGGGCTATTTTGATACATGTCTCTCTCATGATTTGATCCCCCATTAAGTGAAATAAATGTGATCATTTGCTTCCCATTTGATTGATCTCTTTGAGTTATTATTATCACCCGTGCCTTAGACAATAGGACAAATTTAAGTTCTCAAAAGCCCCTTTCGTAGCCCGGGCACAAGGGGTTCGAACCATAGTTTCCTCTTGTATATTTACATGTTAATTTGATGTATTTACAATTATTAAATGGATTCATGATTGGTTAAATTGATTATGTTGTGTAAATATTGAGATTGTTTTTTAATCTTGCGGTATGAGCTTTAATGCTATTTATTATTGTTTATGCGAATTGAAATCTTATTGAATTATTATGATCAAGTGTATGATGTGTATGAAATATTATGATATATGATGATGATGAAGAATGAAAATGAAATTATCATATAATTTTGATATAATGAGGAATTGCGAGTACAAGTCATGCAATATGTTGTAGAGATATACAATGTGCATATTTGAATATTGTATTCAGTTTAATTGAATTTTTTAGTAAGGGATTTGTAAGGGACCTATTAGGGTTGATTATTATTATTCAAATGTATATAAACCATATTTGTAGGCTGGAATATATGTATTATGGTTTTGTATTGAGATATTCATGCATTTAAACCCTTGAGGTTTTATACAATGGAATGATGTACACTTTAGTCACTTTGGCAAGACAAATACGGGAATTAATAGAAACACAATACCTAACAAAGGTCTCCATTTAGTGAAGTATATGAATTACAAATTATTGTAAGTGAACTTTAAAGCTGTTGTATATGTTTAAATGACCATGTTCAAATGGAGATTATTGTTTTATCCTATCTGAGCATGTTTCATCATCATCGTCATCATAGTCTCTTTCCAATTAGTTCGAGTTTGCTACACGAATCCTGCAATCCGAGAATGTGTACTATGTACAATATATGAGAAAAAACTTGGTGACCATCGACCTTCTCAATGAGCACAGTTTTAAGATGATTATCAAATCGGTAAGATCATATTAACCTAGAATGATATATTTCTTGGGAAGGGTTACTCCGGTAATTAGATGTTCTACTTGATCTTATAAACGAAATGACCTATTCTGTTTATGTTATGAGTTTCTTTTTTTGAGGCATGCTAGATTAGGATATTTAAATTTTACTTAACAAGTCTATGGTTAAATTTTGATTAATTCAGACTCGGGTGAAATTTCAAAAGAAATGTGTGTACAAGCCAAAATTATTCAAAACCTTTTTGTACAATTGAAAGGAATTCAGAATATCTAGGGCTTGTACATAATATTTTCTGTGATTTGAACAATGTTTTAAGCAGAGGGATCTTTCTCTCACTACAACTGTGTCGATTTGTTAAGGCATGAAGATGAAGCTTTAGAAAACCTTCAGGTTCATAAAGCTGAAGTTGAAAACCACCTTGATATAAAAATTAAAATTGTAGAAAGTGATAGGGGTGAACGATATTTATCAATGGGGTTTCAAATTTTGGTGAACATAGTGATATAACTCAAGTAACACCCCTTATACCCCTCAAAAAAATAATATTGCCAAGGAAAAAAGGAGATCTTTAGCAGAAATTGTTACCACGATGATTGTAAATACTAGTTTGCCTCCATCATTATGGGCCGAAGCTTTATTACATAGTAACTTATAAGTACATAAATGAAACTCCACATGAACTTCGGTATAATAGAAAATTATATTATAATTTATTGAAGTTTGGAGCCGCTAATTGTGTATTAGGATTTTGTATAGGAGAAAAGTTCATTTAAGGATGCAACCTTACTTGAAGAAGATGTAAGGTTGCATTAACTACACCGTTTATTTTATTTGAACGGTTTTAGATTCAACATTGTCTCATACGACACTTTTTGACACTGCCTTAAAAAAATATATCAAATCTATATCGTCCAACAAAAATAAACAATATATGATACCTCAACCTGACTTCTACTAATAATGTTGCATCCCTATATAGATTGCACCCTTTTATATGTTGAGAAAACAAGGATCCCAGACTTCTATATATGTCTACATAGGATACACACAAAATAATAGAAGAAATTTCATAGAATCTATAGATGCTGATTTTTTAAAGCACGACTTCAACTAGTCGTATTGAAAAGTGTAACTAGATACCTACGAAATAACTAAGTAATATTCCACAAAATAAACCAAATTATAATATATTAGTGATAAAATTAATTACCATCCAAACAGGCCCCAAAAAGGAACACACATATTTTAGGGTTTGTATACAATGAGATCATTCGCCTTTGATACAAGGTGGTCACAATTACTCACAACTATTCGACGTGAAATCTGATAGCTGGGTGCGTTACAACATTCGAGAAAATTTCTTTTATAGTTTGAACTTGGTCAATGCATCCACTCGTCAAGATTAATTGTGATCACCTTGTATCAAAGATAAATGGTCTCAATGTATACTTTTCCTATATTTTAAATGAAGGAAAAATGAAAGAATAACCGACTTTAAAGTAACACTCAAAGGAATCATTTTTCATGAAATTAACGTATTTAAGCACACACTCCTACAAACTGGCTCTTAGTTAATATGGAACAGATGAAGCACCTAAACACCCATATAACTCGTTGTTATTAAAGTAGAGCATAAATGAAACCAGAAAGAACTTTACTTTCCTCCTTGTTTTTCTTTTATTTCTTCTTCTATGTGTATAAGATGAGATGGAGCTCCCACCTCAAAGCTACAAGTCCTTCCAATCTAGCTACGGACTCCAAATGGTCACCTGGTTAAAAACATGTTAATACACACCTATGCAAAACATCAAGGAAAACCACTGCATTTATACTTTGCAGGATGAAATCCAAGGTTTGAATCCCGGGTAATCTACCCCAATAAATAAATAAATAAATAAAAACACTAGTTTCTTGGTGAGGTCGGAAACTTATGGCATCAGCCTTTCTTTGTTAGAGGATAAGATTCGAAATAAATCATAACTAGTTATTTCAATGAATCTTGATTGTTACCACTTAGGGCAGCCCCATGGGTCTTCATATTATGAATTTACAGGATAACCTTATCTGGAAATGAGGCATTTTCAATGATTTCCACTGATGTCCAAATTGGAAGAAAATCTCCCTGCTATCTCCATTTTCACCTCTTTTTTGGTAAATATCTTAAAAGTGGGTGGAATTTATTCTCCAATGAATCTTCTTCATCTCGATCATCTGTCTCCTACAAAACCCATGGCTTCTCTCTTCCTTGAACCCTTAATTCTCCCTCTCTTCGGAAGAATTTATTCCCCAGAAATGAATCTTCTTCATCTCGATCATCTCTCTCCTACAAACTCCATAGCTTCTCACTTCCCTGAACCCTTAATTCTACCTCTCCTCAGAATTTTCAAGAAAGTTTTTCCATGGAACCGAACAGGCACTTAGGAACTTTTGGACATCCCCAAAAAGGTCATTAGTGATCTCCATATCTCCTTTGCATCCACGCAGCTTTTATTTTTTTTGGGTGATTCAATGGAGAGAGGGCTCCTACCCTTTGTAGGAATTGAGCCTAGGCCGTAGTGTTGCAAATCATCAAGCACTAACCAATTAAGCCTGGGCTCTTTTCTTTAAAATGTGGTAAGTCACTAACCAATTAAACCTAGGCTCTTTTCTTTAAAAAGCAAAAAAAAAATTTTATAAGGACAAGTTTTTTTTAACAGCTCAGTGGGGACTACAAGGCCCATTCATGCAGCCTTTGCCAGATTGAAGTGCACACTACCTCATGGACATCTTGGTCATGTACCCCATCTCCTTCATCATTGGTAATAGCCCCTCTTCCAACATGCCATATATCTCCCTAGCCAGAGGGTGGACCCTATCACCCACAAAGAAAGTATGCACCCTATTCCTCACCTCTATCTCACTATATGCACCCTGCTTTTTTACTATTTTGTCTCTCATCAACCTTCTGACCCCTGCAACCTCACCCCACCTCCCCTCTGCTGCATACGCATTTGCAAGCAACACATAGGCCCCCGAACTACCAGGATCGACCTCGAGCAACTTTGCACCCACACGACTTGCACGCTCCACATCTCCATGCACCCTGCATGCTCCAAGTAACGCACCATACACAACCTCATCAGGCTCAAATGGCATTTCCTCAATAAGCCTCTCACCTTCCTCCAGATTACCTAGCCTGCCCAGCATGTCCACCATACATGCATAATGCTCAGGCCTAGGGATCACATTATACACACGCTCCATTGCTTGAAAGCACGACCATCCATGCTCTATGAGACCAGCTCGGCTACAAGCTGTGAGCACACCCACAAATGTGACCCCATCAGGTGTTTCTCCATGCTTTAGAATGTTTGCAAAGACCTGAAGTGCAGAGCACCCTAGTCCATGCTCAGCACATGCCAAGACCATCGCAGTCCATGAAACAAGGTCCCTAACTCTAAGCATCTCAAAGGCATGTCGAGCCGAACCGAAATCACCGTACCTCGAATAATTTGTTATCAAGGCGTTACAGAAGCCAATGTCAGAGTCGAACCCTAGATGTACAGCAAGCGCATGGATATGCATCACATGCACCACACCTGAGCATGTAAGGAGCATGCTCGTGAGGGTGCAGTGGTCAGGCTCCACATTGCTTTCACGCCTCATGCGATCCAGTAGACCCATAGCCTCAAACCCATGCCCATGCTTTCCATACACATCAATCATGGTATTCCATGACACAAGATTCCGTTGTGTCATGGACTCAAAGACTCGACATGCCTCTTCAACATTAGTGGAGTATGCCATAAGCATGGCATTCCATGCTGCGACATCACGTTTTGGCATCGCATCAAAGACTCGACGAGCTTCACATAACATGCCATTCTCCGCAAGCCCAACAAGCATCGCAGTATGAGTCACCTCATTCTTGCTTGGGGCTTCACAGTAAAGTTTCCAAGCCTCGTCAACACACCCAACATGCAAATAACCTGAGATCATCACATTCCAAGAATAAACATTCTTTTGTGGCATCACATCAAAGAGGTGCCGAGCCTCTTCGATACGTCCCTCTCGTGTATAGCCAGAAAGCATCACAGTCCATGCCACCACGTTACGCTCAGGCATTTCATGAAACAAGAGTCGGGCCTCTTCAAGCCGACCCCAACGAACATAACCTGTGAGCATTATGGTCCACGAGAAAGGATTGTGCATGGGCATCATATTAAAAAGGCGACGCGCTTCATCCATGAGGCCTGCTCTTGTGCACCCACCAATCATGCTTGTCCAAGTGAAAATGTTTTTGTGGGGCATTGTTTCAAAGATTCTCTTGGCCTCGCCAAGCCTGCCAACTTTTGCATAACCATCGAGCATGGCGGTCCATGCAACTACATTTCTTTCAGGCATTTCGTCAAATAGCTTTTGGGCTTTAGGAAGGTCATTGTTTTTAATGTAGGCAGCCATCATGGTGGTCCAAGAAACCACATCTCTTTTGACCATTGCATCAAATACTCGACGAGCTTGTCTGATTTCATGGTTGCGAGCAAGGCTTGCAATCTTCATGTTGCAAGAGAATGTGTCATTGTGTGTTTTGTGCAAATTGGGTTGTTCGTTTTCTGATTGGTGGAATTGAACTGGTTGGGTGGTGGTTTTCTTTTGTTGGGTGGTTCGTTTTTGATGGACTGTACAGAGAGAAGGGATCGCAGAGCTCCAATGGTGGAGACATGGTTGCGTAGAAGGAAGGTGGAGCCTGTGAAGGGACGGCCTGAGGGGCAGCATCTGTGCTTTAGCACATGGTTTTGTTTTGCAGTTTCAGTTTTCAATGGAGGAAGTAATTAGCAGAGGCAAGGTTTCTGACTCTTTGAAATACATCGGAGAAATATAGCACAAATACATTTCCGAGCCAAGCCCCACTCTCTCTCTCCCTACAAATATATATTTGCTTAAATAGTGTTTTCTTTCTTTTTTTCTCGTTAAATTGTTGTTCTGTCTCTCTAGCTTAAACATCAATTTCTAGCTCCGGCTCTTCCAGCTTTTGTTCTAGACTCTAGTGATATAAAGCTACCCCCTCCCTTACTCGGTCTTTAACGGATGGATCTGCTTGAATGGGGAATGAATCGTGCTCCAAAGATGAAGAAACAATGACAGACCATTTAAATTTTCTTACCAGTCACAATCACATCTAGCCATTGGACGTAAAATTTGACAATCTAGAATATGTCAAAAATTCGAAAAATTTTCTCTTAGACCCTGAGACCTGTCAATGACACACGTCAAGCTAACCAACTTCACATTCAAAGGCCAACGGCAACCATTACGTCCCTATACCAAAGGTAAATATTGTTCGAGGTTGCCCATCATCTCTTTATACCAAAGGTAAATAGTCTAACCTAACTTGTTTCCAAATAAAAGTATGCACTTTTTATGTAAAAGAAACAGTATGTGACTGTGAACAAACGAAATGAATCTCTTATTTTATTGTTTAATGAAAAAGAAATTGGGAAGCCGGGACCAATAATTTTAGAAGTTCAATATTTTTGCTCGAGTAAGCCTCATATATCATTTTTGCATATAAAAGCGTTTAAATTACAATGCCAGTCGACTCGACTACCAAATCATCCAAGATAAAAAAGATGGAAATATATTGCTGAAAATTTACATACCCTTAAAGGCTTCATGTTCAGAGACAATGAGACCAATTTGTTCCTCCACTCTAGACCACCTATGTGGCGATATTCTTCCTACGACAAGAATAAAGACGAGACATGTTTTTCCTTCTCTGGCTCTATTGAATAGCCAAGTAGAAATAGCCACTTAAGTCGCATTTTCTAAACAAGCATGGTTCAGAAGGTGACAGAATCGAACATGTTGTGGTAGCACCTGCACAAGCAGGGTAAAGAAAGAGCAGAATTGCCTTTTGTTCAGCGATCAAGACAAACACGCTAAAAAAGAGGCAGAATTTTCAAGTAAATTTCTCTCCTCTCTCCATAGAAACCCTAACTCAAGATCAAATGCCATATATCAACACCTCTTCTCTTCATTGAAGTTCATTTTTCCAAACATTTCAAAAGACATCAGCATCAAGTTGAACCAAGCTGCTTTTATGTAAGAGAAAGTGAGAGCAGTGGGGTGTTAACAACAATGTAATTGTAACGTAACAAAAGAAACTAGATGCCTGGAAATATGCAGGCAATTCCTCCTCCCCCCACAAACACAAACACACACGCACGCATGAACAGAGAGAGAGAGAGAGAGAGAGAGAGAGAGAGAGAGAGAGCTGCGTTGTGCATATGTGAGAGAGGAAGAGAGGTAGTATTCCGAGTTTAGATGCTCACATCTAAAACTGGTGATTAGGAGGTAGACAATGGTCAAGAGAATAACCTTAATCATTAGAAGGTAGTCAAGAAAATCACCTTAATCATTATTGGGATAGACCATGCCCAAGATAATAGGCTCAGGTAGCATCCATAGTAATTAATGTGACCTTGGAAGCTGTTTAAGCAGTTTTAAAAGCTCGTACGTCCTCATGTCTCTACCAGAATAAAGACAAATATCCAATGGTGTCAAACCATCCTGGCAAAATGCACACGTCAAAAGGTTCAGAAAACTAGGTACAAAGAGGAAAAAATTTCCAGCTATTGTAATACATGGGAACCAAGACAACAAAAAAGATTATTGGCTGGGAAGACCTCATAGGGAAGGAAGAGAAAATCCAACTATTGAAGTACATGGGGCTTGAGAGAAAAGAAAAGAGATTATTGAATGGAAATATTGCATAACCAGTGTTTAAAGAAATAATACAAAAAAGGTTCCTTTTCTTTTGAAAGGTAGCTCCTTTTCTTTTGAAAGGGAGCCATTTATCAATACATGAAAACTCTTGTTTAAGGATTAAATGGACCATAGCAAGTCACGACATATCTAAACCAAAATTACAACACTTAAACCCAAAGTACCTTATTTTTTGATTTAGCATCGGCACCTTTGATTAATAATAGCTTTACTAAATCAGTTCTTCGGGTTTGCACGGCAAGATGTAGAGGTGTCCACCCATACTGCACAGGGAGACAAATTATGCACCTTACGAAAAGCCCACAAGAAACAATTATAGAAAAATTAAAAGCATGCAGCTCTAAATTCAAAAGGTAAGAGAACTCACATCATCAGAAAGGTTAATGTCGACATTGTACAAAAGTAAGATTTTAATTGTTTGGACTGAAGCAACTCGAACTGCATAATGCATCAAGGTAGCTCCATCCTGTTGTGAGCAACAAGTAGAAAATCAAAGTGCTAGCATACGATGACAGGTCATGAAAAAAGAGAAAAGTTTTCCATTGTTTACACTGGCATATTAAAAGAGAAAAGCATGATTCTGATTTGAAATATGCTACAAAACTCCCTCTCCCCTTCCACTCATGCCTGTTACATGGAACTGGCAAAAATTGGCAAAACATGCATTAAGCACCATAGAATGAAATAACTCTAAATTAAGTTGGGGTGCCATTCACAGTAAAAAATAAGAAAAGTTGCCATGTGTTCCTGGAAATATTTGTTTACAGGATTATTAAGAAAAAAAGAAATTCTTTTACCTATGAAAGCCAAATAAATAGAAATGTGGGATGGAGAACAATTAGAGATGGAAAATTACCTTTGGATGGGGCTGTTCAGTTTCATACATTGATGGAACCCCACAAAACCATGTTAGAATGGATTTTTACCACTTGATTTTGCAAATAGCCATATTTTGACCTTCTCATAAATTCCCAAATATATAGATAAATGAATAAGTCAGCTCCTAAAGTTGTAGATCTTGTTGCCAAAGAATGGACGATCCAAAGTTGTAGTTGAAGTGGAGCCCCCGTCCAACAAACGAGTGATATTTGGGGGGTCCTCACAATGCTGCAGAAATTGACAGCCCCAACAGTAGAAAATTTTCCCTTCAAAAGATAACATGATCAACTACCACAGAGTTACATATTTAAGTAACATGGGTCAGACAACATCAAACTATTATGGGACAAAATCAATTGATGTTCGGCATGCTTATCGAGTATGAATAAAGGTCCGCATTCATTTAATATGTCTTTGCCATTGGTTTGGGAAAATGGGAAACCCAAAAAAAAAAACACACTCTTATTCATTCTGGAAGGAAACCTTGATGAGGTGCTGAAGAAATGACTCCCGATTATTCCGCGAACTAAAAATTTAGCTTGCATTAAATAATTTATAGCAAGGTTTTCAGGAGTATTGGCTTTTGTTTTCTGTTAGATACAAAAAGATACCCATAGAAAGAATGGATACAAAAACATAAATTCGCAAACTTTTACAACTTTCAAATATAAAAACTTTAACGGCAACTACAAAATACGCTTCGGCAAACACATGTTCCAAAAATGGTAATGAAGTCATACTCACATCATCACGAACGAAAGGATTTGCCGAGTTTCTCAAAAGATAATTGGTTATCGCCTGTTTCTTACAAAGTATAGACTTGTGAAGAGCAGTCAATCCATCCTGCAAAATATTCACTTCCCATATTAGAGTTCAGAATGAGGAACATAAAGATCTCAGCAACCATGAAAACATCACAAGGTGCAATGTTGCAGAATAGAACTTAACAATGTATTAAGACATAACTCAAAAGGCCCTTATTTATCACAATGTGCACCTTATCAGTAGCATTGATGTCAACATTGTGTTTTAGCAATGCATTCAGAAGATAAAACTGCCCTGACACTGCAAGTGTGTGTACCGGTAGCCACTTGTCCTGAAGAAATGTCCGTATCGATATGTTAGTACTGATAAATTCTAGTTATGTTGAAGTTCAATTGATAACAAACTTGACTCAAAGCATGAGGAGAATTTGATAGCAGTATTGCACAAGCAGAAGCAGCAGCACATATGAGACAATATACAGTATCATTACCATAGCAAGGAATAGGCATGCACCAGAAAATTATGATAATTAGAGTACAATGACTACAATGGGAGCTCATTGAGAGGCTCTGTTGTTTGCTTACACTAACTCCGATTAGAGAGGTGTTCATAAGTGGAGGCCCCAAACAACCATCCATAGGTGTCAGAAAGCAAAATGTGAAAAGTACGTTAACATTTGAATTTCTTTTATAATATAAGTAATAAACAAATAATAATAATACGCACCAAGTTTCTCTATCAACCCTCTTCCATATAGAAAACGAGATTGACCATTCTTAACTTGCTCATTATAAATTCAAAGGTCCACTCCCATATCCTTTGGCAAGAAAATATGCAATTTGTCCTAATTTCCATTAAGATATTTTAATAACATCTCTCTTCATCACACCATATATGGTCCTTACATGAAAGAGTTAAATATGGTCCTTTTATGAAAAGGGCTAATTGAATACTACATATGTTGCACTTTGTTCTTACTAGTATTTAAAAAACCAGCAACTCAGGCACAAATAGCACAAGTCTCTCGGAATCAAGTGGTCCCTGGTCCCTGGTCCCTGGTCCCTGGTCCCGAAGGCCGCCAAACCAAGGAGTTGCCCCACATGAACTGAATTCAGCCAGTTCACCGTAGCAGTGTGAACCGGCCAAAATCCAATTGTCTTCCCCTTTTGAGGTTCTTTTCATCTGTTCAAAATTTTGGGAGTATTTCTATCACTTTGGGACTCATTTGGAGGTATTTCAGCCCCAAATTTAAGCCCCAGATCCATTTTTCAATTTTTGAGAGAAGTTTGACTAATATTGTTAACATATAAGTTTGTTTTTGTACAAGATCCGTAATATGGCAACCCACAAAAGCCAGGTGCTTGAATACAAAAAGGGGTTCCTTAAGCTGCAACAAAAAGGAGAGGTCTTTGAGAGAATCAGGGGAAAAGGGAAAAACAGAGTGAGATGGTGAGAGATACGAGAGATGAGAACATTCAAGAAGTGGTGTAGAGAGAGAAAGAGAGCAGGAGGAAGACGATATGGAGCAAAGATAGGGTAGAGGTATGGGACGTGAGAAGTTTTCAGAGTGTGATGAAGAGAGGGAGAGAGCAGAGAGAAACAAAGGGCATTATGAAAGAGTAAGAGAAGGGAAGAAAGAGGGGCAGAGCCCGCCATTCTAGAGAGTAACAAACTCAAACAGTGGATTCGCCTCTGTCAGAGGCCAAGACCGAGTCCGAGTTGACTAAGCTGAGCCTCAAAAAACGGATGACAAGTTTAGAGGATACATACCTCCAACAGAGGTATGGGAAGGTGTGGTGGGGAGGGGTCAGGGACTACCTCGAGGCACATTGCCAAGGACGTGGTGGCTGTTCTCCTAGTTTGTTTAGATGTATGAGTTTCATGGTGAGGGATGGGAGGTCACAGGTTGGGGACAAGGATCATAGTTTAGACCCCCTCAGCCACTCTGTTCACTCAACCCATCTACCCCACACAACTTTCCCAAAATCAAATTGGCCCTTACCATTATAAATCTTTATCTAAGAAGATAAACATCAAGACCAGCTTCAGTAAAACAATAAGGAAGTGCATGACGAAGGCAACAACAAAGTGGTTTTATGATCCTGTCACCCCTTTCAATGCGACCAAGAATGAATACCACATGCCCATGATCTTGATGATTGCTGATGTAGAGTCAAGGCTCCCACTGAATATGAGCATAATGGGCCCTCCTTAGATTAAGAGTGACTGGGGCCAGCTAGTTCATAGATAAATACAAGTAGATGTGGAATAAAACAGTTGTCACAATTATGTCTGATAGGTGGAAGGATACGAAGGGAAGAACTTTTCTTAACTTTTTAGTGTATTGCCCATGAGATGGTGTTTCACAATAGTGTCGATGCCACAGGAGCAGTAAAAGATGGGAAGCTATTGTGTAGATTATTAGATGATGTGGTGAGACATGCTGGGATGTGGTGAGACACGCTGGTTAATAGTATGTAGTTCAGGTTATAACTAATGATGCAAAAACTGCATCAATGCAGAGAGGAAGCTCATGAAGTTGAGGAAGCATTTTGTACGGAGCTCCTATGGAGCCCATTGCGTTGACCTTATGCTAAAAGGCATTAGCAAGCTCAAGAGAGGAGATTGTGGATAAGAGGAAGATGGGCACGACATCAACATACAACCACTCATTGATCCTAGTTTTGATAAGCCAGAACACTGATGGCAGCGAGTTGATTAGGCATGGCATCACCTGCTTTGCTACTCACAATTATCCAGGAATCCATTTGAGGTCACTAGCAAGGCTTAATAAGATGGTTGCCTTCAGACCATAGGTGTTGCCTTCAGACCATAGGTGCATGCTCTATCTCGAGGACATAGATTGCAAGGGAAGTTTTTTTTTTTTTGAGTGAAGTTAACGACAGATTGCAAGGGAAGTTGAAGAGATAAATACTAGCAAGAGGTTCCAGGATAGAAGCGAGCAGAGAGTAGCAGCTATAGCTCCTTTAGTGGCAGTGTACATCAAAACCACATTCTCATTTTCTTCCGAAGTGGGGGTGATAACTGATCACAAATGGAACACCTTGTTGTGCCAGCGAATTCATACAGCAGATAAATGGTTTTGACATTTAAATACTTAATAGTTAGTCATTTGGATTTCATAAATTCGATTATGGTTTATGATTGATAAGGGTTCACGCAATTAATCATGGGGATCACTTAAATTTTTGAGTTGTCTAGGTTTATTCTTCAAACCAGGATAATACTAGGACAATCACTGCACCCTAGGTCATGGAAGGGTTGAAGAATTGTAGAGGGAGATCTGAACAAAGTGGTAGGAGACATATTGAAGCTCTAAGGAGGTAAGAAACAAATGCTTTTTAAGAAATTTCCTTAACTCATTTATTTGCAAATAATGCAGGCCACATTTTTATATCACTAAACCTCAACCTTTTCCTCATTATTTTATGTATATGGATGCACAATAAAAATTTCCAACTGATGTTGCTAGGAAATCTCACACTTGGTTAGATCCAAGTGAACTCTCAAGTCATGTCTTATATTTCTTTATTTCTTATTCTTTGAATGTAGAGAGAGATCTGAACCAAGTGGAAGGAGACATATTGAAGCTCTAAAGGAGGTAAGAAACAAATGCTTTTTAAGAAATTTCCTTAAGTCATTCATTTTTATATTTACTAATGACTAAACCTTGACCTTCTCCTCATTTTTTTATGTATATGGATGTGTAAGAAAAATTTGCAATTGATGTTTCTATGAAATCTCGCACCCGGCTAAATCCAGGTGCACTCTCAAGTCATTTCTTATGAGTTATTTCTTATTCTTTTAATGTCATTTAGGACCTTTCTTATGAGTTCTTTCTCATTTTACAGCAAAGTGGTAGGAACCTTACGGCACTAGAGCATCTCACCTAGAGAATATAGCCATCAAGGCTCCAAGCTAAATTTGTTTTGCTATGCATTGTAAGCGAAACTGGATTATGCTCTGGTGGATGCACACCCCAAGGAGCACATTGACCGTTGCCAGGCTTCAAAACCTGGTCAAACTTCAAACTTCTTAGAGCGGCGGCTGAGGAGAAAAGATAAAATGACCCAATCAACTTGGATCATATATTTTTAGAGGATTCAGCTGAGAAGTGATTGGTGGAAGTGGAGGAACCATATAAGAAGACAGATGGCCTCAGGGACGAGGAAAAAGGTAGGAATTAGGGGGCAAAAGCTGAAGGAGATGAACGGGTTAAAGGAGCACAAGTAGGAGGAGATGATCATAATGACATGCATGAGGCCACTAATACAGATGATGGTGGTGATAGAAAGGCTCCTAAGACCGAGCACGAGCAGCAAGATGCAAGCAAGCACAAGGGTTGGACTAGCCAAGTTTCTCAACCCACATTCTCACTCTTAAATTAATGCAGATACACTTAGGATGATAATGATCGGGATTATGGTGCTCAGGATGACTTGAGCCTCCTCATCTTCATATTGGCTCTAGATTGTGTAATTTAACTCATATGTTAATCATTTTGAAATTTGATTTTCCTATGTAACATTATTTGTCATGTACCAGATTTAGGACTACTGAATGAACATGTGGCAGTATGGAAGATAAAAATTATCTACAAGTGCTCAAAACTTTCATAGTTTTATATTTTTTTTAAAAATAATATTTCCATTTTCCTCATGTTTTCTGTATATTCAGGTTTTTTTTTTTTGACGTTTAAGCAGGATTCGGTGGCCCAACTGAGGACTTGTCAAGCCAGGTCACCCCAAGTAAGACTCAAGTCCCATTACTCAAACATTGGTCCTTACAATAATGATTTTTTATGTCCTTTTGAAACAATTATCATCTCCTTCACACAAGCATCCAAAACAGTTCACATATAATTGATGGCATAATCTAATAATCAGTTTTCATGCTTGAAATTTAACAATCATAGAAGGAATGAAGCAGTCTTACAATACAGATCTTTGTAATTTAAAAAACTATTTACAATAGGGGCTCCACTTTATGGATTAATGAGGATTCCCAGTCAATAGTTAATGGGTTGCCTGCCTTGCAATCCTCCATGAGGTGAGATGAGCAAAATTGATCTCCAATTTGAATGTCCTTGAAGAGCTTGCTTAGGAAGAAGTTAATGGAGATGCTTTCAGAAGAAGACGACTCTTTTTCCCTTCCCTTTGGGTGCATTCCTCACACGACTTAACATTATCCGTCCACTATTAATGTTATCCACTGAAGAAATAATAGGTTTTTGAAACTCAGAGAAAAAGAGAAGGTACTTAAGTCAAGCAGTCAGAGTTAGGCATCATGTTTACCAAAAAGAGGTCATGTTCTCAGGTATAGAACAAACATGCCCACAAAAAGTTTAGAGCAAAGAGCCCATGAGATATAAGGCCATCCTGCCCAGTTTCACACAAATGACCCCCTATAAGTGTCTGAAGGAAAAATAAAACTTACTGAAGTAGCATCTGAAAGACGAGGTACGCGCATATTCAGAAGGACTTTTTCCTCGTTTGTTAACAACTTGCGAGGACCTACACAACAAGCATATTGTTTGTCATTACTTAACATCCATATCCAGAAAGCAGCCAACATTTTAACCAATATGTAATGTATTGGACAAACTAGACCAATCACCGATTCACATTATTCCTCTATACACTAGCATTTTTAGAAACATAAAATAGGAATATAGTAGACCAACCCATAATTCCAATAAATTATTCAGAGCTTTTGCCCTGGAATTGTAAACAAACAACACTGAAAGTTCCGCTTCACAATCAAAATGTTATCATATTCCTAGTTTTCCATAAAAAGTCAAACCATGATATCGAATATATTGCCGATAATAAGTCGACTACATTTTTAGAATGAGAGAGAGTGAGAGAATTAGAGAGAGTGAGAGAGAGAGAAAGAGATGCTCCAAACATTACAGATATAAAGAATCTATGTCACACATGATCCAATTTGTATTATCGTTTCTTCTATTTTCTTTTCTTAATCAGTAAATCATGGTATTGGTTAGCATATAGTTGAGATATTGTGTAAAAGTCCCAATTACGCAGGACAAGTTTGAGGCACTTTCTACTCAAAGAATTAAAAAACTGAATTCTAGAAGTACATTCCATCAATAAAATGCATGTGACATATTATGCCTGCAGCCAGGTACCCTCAGATTCCACATTCATCTCCAATGGTGGTGTTACCTCTTTCAAGCACCATGATTCCAAGGCAATTCGCTATTGAAGAATGACTGCTTTCAGGCTCCCACACAGCCATCAAATTCTCATTCCTAAGCTAGCACCACGTCAATCTGCTATTCAAGTATTTGAGAAACATAAACTTACTGCTGAATCAGCCCTGGAACTTGAACATTGATCTCATTAGAAATCTCTAAGTTGTATCAGCTTTGGAGTTTGATCATATCCATTAATGCCATGAGCCATATTGGTAGTAGTGTCCTAGAGCAGAGAAATTCTTTTAGTAATAGGTTTGCTGTTTTATAGTTAACCTCTTAATATCTCAGGTGTTTTATTGACTGTTAGCTCGTTTATCAGGTGAATATGAGTTGAGCTTTGGGAAAAACAAACGAAATTAATGTATTCATGAGATGACATTTTCATGCTATAAATTAAGAAGCTCTTGGTCCCCACACCCTATGTAGATTACATTATGTTGATGAATTACACAAGACGTTGTGCTGCTTTCATCATCATTTTGAAATTCTACATGTTAAGGAATGTTTATCCATTACTTACATTAGCCTCTCCTATATATGTCTCTTGGGCAAAATCATTCAAGGAAATATAAGAGAAAAATAAGAAAGGTGCACTGGAAAGAGAGATAAAACAAAAGCGTGTGTTGGGTTTACGAATGAACACCTCTTTCGTATGCTCAGTTCGTTGTTTTCCTAGTTTCCAAGTTCTTGCTCGATCCAATTCGACTATTATAAACAAGATAGTGTGTCCAGTTCTAAAGAACCATCTTGGTTGACACATTTGTTAGCATAGACGGACCAACAATCCTCTGGAAAATGTGCAGATGAATTTAACAACAAACATATCAAGAGCAATGAAGAAAAATAAAAGGTAGAAATCTGCACCATCTACATGGAAACTGTAGAGAAGAACATAGCCACTAATTCTAATGTCAATATCTCCTAAGGAAACCTCTGAAAATTCCAGATACTGGATTTTGTGTTCTTCAAAAGATAGTAAGAACACCGGTAGTGAGAGCTTTTTTTTTAATTGTTTACTAACAAAATGACATTTAATCCTGGGAACTCAGTATTGTCAACAAAAGAACAACAAGCACCTCAACATAATCAAAATATGCAAAACAGAGAGAGAAGGAAGTGAACACCTTGAGACTTCTCTTTGCTTTCCTCCCTGCCATTATAACCACCGTTAAACATCTCCGTTATATCATCAAAGCTTCCACCCTCAAGTTCCAACCTAGGGTTTCTAGGAACGACTCTCAAACTAGAAGAAAATCCCAACTCACCACCACCATTAGAAGAGAAACTCAATTCATCCCCACCTTCATCATTTGAAGAAAAACACAATTCAGCTCCTCCTTCATGATTAGAAGAAAGACCCAATTCACCATTGTCATCACTACGATCGTTAATTGGGTCCGGTATCCTAGAAAAGTCATTCGAATTCTCATGAAAACCTTCTGGCTTGTCCAAAACAATAGGTTTCAATTGAGATAATTTCTCTGATCTATAAGCTGAATACTGATCCATATCAATAACCCTCGGCTTGTTCTTAGCCAGTCGACTACCAAACTCCATTTTCTGAGCAATTTGTCTCCTCTCTCTCTTACTCATGTTGAGCTCTTTCGCTGCCTCTTTCCAGTCATCCGGTACCAAATTCTCAACCACAACTGGTTTTGGCTTTCTGGGTTTCTCAGGAAATTCTTGCTGAGCAAATGGGTCCTCGAAAATCCCTTCTTCGAGGACGATACAGTCGCCAATAACGTGGTCATCTTCTTCATGACTAGGGTTTGAGTAAGATGGTGGCGATAAATTTTGAAGAAAGGGTTTTTTGGGGTGTTTTGAGGGGAAAAGATAGAGGATAGGGGAGTAGGAGCCTGGATGAGAGAGAGGGCTATGGCAAAAGAAGGTTTCTTTGTGGTCTTTTGAGGAGAGTGCAGTTGGGGTTTTTGTTTTGGGGAAGAGAGGAGAGAGAAAGGAATTGAAGGGAGGGTTTAAGGAGAAGGTGGGTTGGTTCAGAATCATGGTGTGCAAGAGAGATGGTCCAGTTTCAGAGCCTGTGGAAGTAAAAAAAAAAAACAATTAAAAACCAATTTTTATTACAAATTTTTTTATTAATATAAATTCGTTTGGTCTTGGAGCATTCGTATACAGCATAAAACATGAATGAGATTGTTTCATGACCACTAAACGCGCTTAATTCTGATTTTGTAGCACACCAACTCAGAAACGTTGGCAGTCCAAAACTCACTGAATCCCATATTTGGGGGCCAACGCAAGAGACGGACTGAGTACGAGCCATGACCTGTGTCTCCCAAGCCATAGAGTTTCGGCCCGTTTTGTTTTTCGGTGGATTTTCTGTTCAACTAAGTCTAGATCAAACTGTACAATTTTTTAAGTCGGATCGAGGTTACGCTTGGTCGTTCCAAACTGGCCCTTGACATATGAATGTAACTTAGGGAAACTTCAATTCGTTATACATGCATGTTTCGAGAAGTGCTATTCAGCACCAGTTCGGATGTGATTATTGATTACATGTACTTTCATTTTTTACTCCCCTCCCCGCTTCAGATTGACACCTTGTGCAAATCCTCTCTATTGTTTTCGGAAACTACAAAAAATATATCTTTGTTTCCATGAGGGCTTATATTATAAAGGAGCGGGGACGTCAAACAATCCCATTATTGGTGTTATTTAGGAATAAGTGAATACAGTTTTTAATTGTGAGAGTTGTTAATTTTGGCGCCATTTTGAATTTGCCCAGGTTGGAAAGGCCCATTCTTTGAAAAACGGAGAGGACTAGTCTTTTAAAAACCCGGAGTAATCTGGATGTGGAAACAGTCGAGATCAAATTGGGTTTGGATCGGTATGGATCTTGATCCGGTTCCCTCCTAAAGCCTATTTTCATTCTTTTTTCTAGTTTTTTATATTTATCTAATATTGTATTTGATCCCTCTTGAGAAAGGGGTTAGGATTGTGGTGGTAGCACCCCACACTCTAGTCACAATGTTGTAGTATCCACTCTCATTGCTAACACCACCTAACTAATACTTTCAAAAAGCTAACTCTTAATCTACTTGAAAAACGGGTAGGGCCCTATCTTCCCCACTAGATTACCAAGAAAAAAAATAAAAAATGGTCCTCCTTTAAATCCCCACCCCACCCCACAAACTTCTATTTTACTTTCGAATTTTATTTTATTTATTTATTAATTTTTTATTGATCACCGATCCAGACAATCCAAGAACGATTCGAGTCGCCGATCCAGATGAAGGATTGGGAGTGAACAATCTTCCCCACAAATCCGCTTTTAAAAACGTTGGAGCGTACCAACCAGTTTCTTCTGCGGGCGAGGACCAACCGACTCATATGTCGATAAAAATCCCATCTCCCCCCAACCCTTTTTTTTTTAATAAGACTAAGCGCATTCTTTACATTAATCGAGTAACAATGCAGAAGAGTGGCGGGGGAACTTATCCAAAATTCCAGCCCACTCTTAACGCATTACCCTCAGTGAGTATTCACAGTTAATGATTCCTTGCTTACCCCTACTTTAGTTAATTCATCTACTTACATTCCCTGATAACATGCTTGAAAGTTCACTCCTTATCTCTAGTTAGGTCCACGATTTATAGTAAGAAGTGTTTTGTCTCTATGGTTCTTTTTGTTTAAGCTTACACCAATGAATAACATTCAAGGGATCACGTTCAACCTCGACTCATTGCACACTATTTGGGATTAGTTTAAGACATTGTAATGGAACTTGGATCTCAGCCTCATTCGCCCTACATAAACCTGGTCCTGAATATTTGAGTTTAATGTTGCATGTGTTACAATCTCAAGTTTTTCTGAAGTGACTCTCTATTTTCATTCATCATATGAATATACAAACTCGTTTTATATAGACAAATGACAAATGGTAAGATTAGAAGAAAATCACAGACACCTATACTATACCCATACTTACCATAAAATGCATGATGATGCACCTACCTTTTTCACATACACTAATTCTAATATACACTTATAATTAACTATGTGGACACTATACACTTTCCTTAACACTCTCCCTCAAACTCAAGATGCTATGAGAAAGAAAGCAATTGGATCTTCAGGTGTTGGATCTTTAGGTGTATAGCATGATTAGCAGAAGCAGCGGTTTCCATGTTCAGGATGCTTGATCAACAAGTACAGAGGAATGACACAACAAGGCATGCTAGACCAACGACATATCAATAATCCTCAGAAAAAGAATGCAAGAACAGAGGCAACTCGAGCAACGATATTAGCAAGCCTCATAAACAAAAGGCAAAAGCAGAGCAGGCGCGAGCAACAACATATTAGCGAATTTCAAGAATGGACAAATCTTCTGATATTCGCCAAATACATAAAAACAGTTGAGACAACTAAAAGAACAGAGACACTTGAAATAGCCAAGGTAATGTATCTCTAGTGGTGTATATCCGAGACTGATTCAGCAGCTCACATAAAAGAACAGACATGATCGAGTAATAAGAGAGCAACATACTTGATCATACAGGAACAAAATAGGGTGAAGATATCTCCGACTTTGATACCACGGTAGAGTTTTAGGTTTCTCTGAAGAGACTCACTGTGTCCATTAATCGTATGAATATACAAACTCATCTCATATAGATAAATGACTGACGATAAGAATATAAATAAATTACAAACACCTATATTATACCCACACTAGCCATAAAATACAACATAATGCAACCACCTTTCTCGTATACACCGATTGTAATATACACCTTCTATAATTAACCCTATAGACAATATATCCTTTCCTTATCAAAACCATGATTCCCCGATTGAACTCCAATCGAATTTGATTTTTCTCCATAGTCTCTGACCAAACCCCCAGTTCTTGCCAAAACCATGATTTCCAGTTGAACTCCAATCAGAGTTTATTTTTCTCTACCCTTCAGGTAGTGGAGTCTATTTTGACATTCTATGATTTTCCTCACACCCAGCTTTATATATGTTATTAATCAAACTATGTTTCCTCACCCCAAAGTACTTAGTTTGAATCATCACCCAATTTGACATCTTGGCTAAAATTCTTCCCTTTAATTGTGTTGGCATCCAAGCATTTGCCTTCAAAATATCTACTATTGTGCTCCTTCCACAACAAAAAGTTGCCATAACACTGCCGCACTCAGACATTTTTATATAATTTTCCCTACTTTGGGATATTTTAAATTGAGTAATTAATGTGCATATTTTTTGGAAGGAAAAAATTTATATAAAGTCCAGGCTCTAAACAATCAAATTAGAACCCACCTCAAAAGTTTCACTAGAAGATAATCAAATTCGAACCCACCTCAAAAGTTTTACTAGAAGATGTTGTTTTGATGCCCAATATCATCAAATTGATTATCTCGACATCAAGACGCATGAACAGGAGAAAAAAATAGATGTCAAGTTTTGGAAATTGTGCATCTTGTAACGCATTTTTAAACCGTCAATTTTCAAGATTTTCAAGTTTTAATGGATCTGCTCAATCTACACTATTTTTTAGGCTTTAAATTTTATAATTAACTATGAAAATATATTTTAAGGCTATCACAAAGATTTCCAGTATTCCAACTATATTTTTTGGCACTATTTGAAGGTGTGCTTTATTTTGATTGTTTAGAGCCTCGGCTCTATACAAACCGCACCCTCTTCTAAAATACTATTAGTTCAAAAGTCTCCTTTTTGTTACATTGTTACAGTCATACCCAATTTGTTTGCCATTTTCCAAAAATGTCAAAAAAAATGCCCATGATTTGGATTGAAGGTCTAAAGTTTATCAAAGTTCATTAGGTATCTTCGAGGGCCCTAGGAACAACAGAGGACAAAAAACTTTGGATTTTCATAATCCAAAGTTTTTTTTGATGTGGGAACAACCTCAGATTTTTAAATTCCAAAGTTTTTGTTGAAAGAAAATACAAGAAACAAGTTCAATAATACATAACAACATTGGATTTTCAAATCTAAGGTTTGTGAAAGAATATTAAATTTTAAAAATCCGAAGTTTTTCTTTTAAAGGAAAGCCACTTTAAATACTTCGGACTATTAAAGTCCAAAGTTAGGGTTTTTTGGTGGAAAAAATACAAAAATGGAGAAAATGGGTATGAATATAATATTTGTAATTTGTTGGAGATATTTGTAATAACAGTAAATAAAAATGATGTTTATGTAATTTTCTCTTTTTAAGTATTCAGTTGCTCAAAGATATGTGGTACTAATCCTAGTAATGGCATTTGTTGGTTTATGTGGGCAGTAATATAATCCATTTAACTCATTTATCAATTCCACCGATTGTAATTGAATCTGGTATTCTGTTGAACCTATATTGCATTGTCCAATTTGTTAGTAAAATTATGACCATCATTTTAAATTGTTTAATCTTCCCCACCATGTCCCACACTACCAGTGATAGTTTCCAGCCTCTTCAGTTTTTACCCATAAGAATTTGCTCGTCAAGGCATAATGTATAAAGATATGTAATATGCTGGTATATTGGATAATGTGGATCTAGTGATCGTCAATCCTCTACCCAGATGTAAATAATTCACTTTCCAAAGGTTATCTGAACCTGAAATCTCTGGATCCCATCTTGATCTTAACTATAGTTAGTAAATCTCTATTTAAAACAAGATTTTTCAAAAAATCTTTTATTATTTAAAATCCATTAAGAACTCTGAGTTTTTTAAAAGCTCTTACCAAAATGTTAGGTTTCACAAAAATCTTTGGATCCCATCCTGATCTCAACTATAAGTAAGTCTCCATTTAAAAGACGATTCTTTCAAAAAATCTTGAAATTCATTAACAACTTTGAGTTTCTAAAAGATCTTAAGAAAATCATGTTTTTTTAATGGAACCAATATAAATCTATATTTTATCTTTTATCAAAAAAAATTCCAAAAAGAAACTTATTTCCTCTAATCTTTATTTCTTAATTAACTTAATATTATTGAATTTTGGTTTCAACATAAGTAACATTAAAAGTTTGAGTAAGTCAATAATTTTGATTTAACAAAGAATCCCATAAAAAAAATTTCACTAGTAAGTT